ACTGATCTGTTTCTTAAGATCCAATATTCATAGTGGTGTGTATTACTCATAGGAAAAGAGGCATATCTTAGCATGCATGCACCTTTTTTTAATCTCCATTGCCCAGAATAAGATGGCAGACCACAATGAGATCCAGCAAACCATTGTCCATTAAGACTGGGCAATATGAACCAGTGGTTTAGTCCAGTAGAAAGCAGCTTCCTGTCAAGTAGCAGGTTTTTTTTTTTTTAAATCCTCAGTAAGATCTCACTTTTTTCTCTCCTTTCCCTTTTTCCATTTCCCCCAAGATGCTGCACTTCAGCCATACTTGGAACAAATCAATCAGATTGAAGAGCAAGTTGCAGCTTTGGAACAGGCTGCCTACAAGTTGGATGCGTATTCCAAGAAACTCGGTAGCTATTCCAAGAAACTCTAGTTCAGGGGTTAAAACATTTCATTGAGGGCCGCATCAGCATTGTGGTTGCCCTCAGGGGTGGTGTGGCCTACTGGGTGGGCATGGCCAGCTCTACATCATTCACGTCAAGGGTGCCTGTGGGGACCTGGGCAGGAGTGGGATAGATCTGAGGGTCTCTGGCAGAAGGGGGTGGGACCGGAGCAAGCGCCAAGGCATAGTCCATTTCTTCATTCCTCACAAAGGGTAATACTTCCCCAGCATGCACCCAGGGGGCGGGGCCAATGTGGCAGGGGCTGGTTCCTCGCTGTTTCTAGACAGTCTTGTGGAGCTAAGACTGAATGCATTTCAGCATAGATGGCCACCACAAAATTGTACATTGGCTCCCGGCCGGCCTGGGCCAGGGCCAAGGCAGCAGGGGCCGTTCCCTCACTGTTTCCAGGATGGCTTTGCAGGCCACATGAAACCAGTTCGCGGGCCACATCTGGCCCCCGGGCGTTGTGTTTGACATGTCTGCTCTAGTTATTACTATAACAGTGGTGTTAAAGTTTTGATTTTATCCATTTCCCCAAGCAAGGCCTGGAAATGTAATCTTTATAAATATACGACTAAAATGCTCATTCCTGTAACCAAAACACTGTATTTATAGGGCAAAACTTTTTGAACTTCCAATGAGATAACTTAAAGAATGTACCCAAAATCCAGAGCCCAAGATGCATTTTATGACATAAAATTATCGTAAGGCATTTATGACAATACAAAGTGTCATATATAATTTTCTGTGATAATGTTTAACTGTGTTACACAGTTCAACATGGGCTATTTTCAAGGCAGATATATCTCTGAATTTGTAAGACCTTATCAAGTACATTAGAAACTCTACTGCTATTGAAGCATTGAGGAATCTGATAAGGAAATATCTCTGATATTTCTAGTATATCTATCGAATACATAAGTTTTATCTTATGATGCCTACATCCTCACTTCTCATAGTGCAGAGAATGAGATTTGGCAATTCCCAAGCTAAGAAAAAACATTAGGCATCCGATTCAGCATTCCATAAACTTATCTGTGGAGAATAACTGGATTGTAGTCTATTTTTTCTTCTTTAGGGATTACTGCAGAGATCAAGATTATTTTCTGTTTGCAAATTAGTTCTCACCTATTCATTTATAGCCAAAAGCACTGCATACTTCACTAAACTATGGTTTATTGATCTACGGTAGTTTTTGATTCAATTCATACAAATTGCTGAGACTTACAATGTAATTTGATACAAAGCGGGAGACCTAATCTTTTTTTGACTTGGATGATGACCATGCCATCTGATTACCTGTATCCATTACTGATCTGAAGTGGAGATAGGGTAGCAAAGGATATCAGTTGGGTATGACTTAGGGAGTAAACAACAACAAGAAGAAAAAGGATGCTTTTTATTCTTATTAGTCTCTCCTGAAATAAATTCAAAGCAAAAATCAATATATAGCAATGGCTGAGAAACATAGTTTTGTATCGAGTATCTGGCACAACAGACTAAAGGCCCCAAGTTGCATTTTCATAACTATTGTTAGGATAATACATTAAATTGTGATACTTAAATACCTTAAATATTTGTATATTTGTATTGTCATCTCTCCCAGTTTCTCTTCCCTTCTCAATTATTAGTTATAAAATGACAGGACATCACTGTAGTTCCACTCTTAACCAAGGGCATCCAGGTAGTTGCGGGTGCTGCTTTAGACTTTTTTTTACACCCCACCTTCCATGGACACTTGTGTTTTTAACATAACCCTAAAAAGTAACTGTCAATAGGAGAAAGGAAGTTTTCAGCATATTCCATTATGTTTCAGGAGTTTTAAGTTTCAGGAGTTTTAAACAGACAACAAATAGCACATTAAGCACATGGCAGCTGATCCTCTCACTCTCTCTCAAGAAATTTAATTTTACAGCAAAAATAGGAAAATTTTAGATAACCAAGGAAATTTTGGATATATTCCTTCAAAAGCAGTATTGGTAGTCCTTGATTTATGACCGTAACTGAGCCCAGAATTAGAAACCTAAGTGATGCAGATCACGTGATCATACCTGATTTTACAACCTTTTTGTGGTGATCATTAAGCAAATTCCATGGTTACTAAGCGAATCCATTGTCTGTAATGGGTGGTTTTTGCCAGAAACTCACGTTTCTGGGGGGGGGGGGGGGGAAAGCCCTAAATCACAAGCCATGTGACTGCAGGATATTGCAAATAGCCATAAATGCAGGCCAGCTGCCAAGCACCCAAAATGCAATCATGTGGTGGGGGTGGTGGTGAGACATTAGAACTTTGAATCTGGGTCAAAAGTGGCCCTGGGAAGGTCTGTCATAACTTTGAATAGTCACTAAGCAACCTGTCGTAAGTCAAGGACTACTTGTGCTTCTAAGTCTTTTTAAGAAATGAAGTCAATTTGTAATCTGACATAAGTTGCTTTGTATGTATACTGAGAGCTTCATCAGCGAAGACAAATCCTTATGTGTGTAAATCATATTTGGCCAAGTAAAGTATTCTATTCCATTCCATTCTATTCTGTTGATTAATTGAAGAAATTGCCTTGAATGCACTTGGTATCAAGGTTTTGATGTCCTTTCTTCTTAAACATCACTGACTATGCTACTAGATTTACAACTAAAATGCAAATGAAATGTTTATACTAAGATTATGTTTTTGTCCTTTACAGAAGCAAAGTACAAAAAATTGGAAAAGCGATGAAAGAAGGCTCTTAAACAGCTTCTAGATTTACATGAGTTTTTTCCAGGAAGCCATACCCAAGATTTCTGCTATTGAACTTCTGAAACAGAATTTATGCCTCAGCAATGCATTTGGACTAGAACAACCTAAGAACTTTCAAAAGCAGCAGAGGCTACACAAGTCTAAGAATAAATTACTTTTGTTATTGTAGAATCTATTCCCTTTTTACTATTTTGATATTTATTTTACTGAACATAGAAGTCTCTCTTAACTGCTTCAATTCTTTATGTAACATGTTTCTCTCTGCTTAGATATGGAGCAAGAAATTGGTCACTTCTGCACTCTATAAATCCTTTCACTTGTAAATCAAGATTTGTTGCCTCCTGGTTGCCACTAAAATACCATTGCTTTGCTAAAAATATATTCCCTGGCCTTGTTTTATACTTTTAGTTTTGATTAATAAATCCAGAAAGAAGTCTGACTTCATTCATTCAGAATTTGAATCACATGAGGCTTAACTATTAGCCCAAATTTAGGTGAATGTATACAAGAACTCTGATATGCTATCAGCACTTACCTGCATGGGTTGAAGAAAAGTGAAAGTTCCATAATTATAAAATTTATTGATTTCAGTAGGACCAATGAATTGCTAGAATGTCAGCTGCTATTAAAACCTAACTCAGAAATATAAAGATACAAAATGAAAGTGGTTGAAATTGATAATGTTGGTGTGAGTCATATCATTGTTCCCACTATTACAATTTTAGCTCCTTTGGCAGCTAAAACTTTCAAAGTGAATGTTGCTGGTTGAGGCTGGAGGTCTTCCTATGAACATGCAAGAAATGGTAAATGCTTGTATGGTTTAATAGCTAATATTGGCGTCCTAACCATAATGTTGACATCACAATTTCAATATTTTCTGTAATAATGTTTTTCCTGTGACATAATCAGCCATGTTTTCCACTCTAGTTTCAAAGAAATCAAGAATCTTCACAAGAATTATAATGCATGGGAAGGCAGTAAGTAATTTGTAAACAGCCACATGTCAAATATATTCAGCACCAGGGCCTGCTCTAAGAGGAAGAAGCCATTTCAGGAGGGAAGAGAACAGAAAAATGGCAACCAGGCTTATTACCATACCTGCATAAACCAGAAACAGCAGGTTTATTTGTTATTTCTAGGATGCTGCCAAAGTTTCCTGGCCTCATTAAAATTCCTGGATGTCATAATTCCAGGTGGTGATCACAATACATGCCTCCCCACTTACAAAACTGGTAGTAAGATGGAAAGAAGGCAAGTTTTCCCCCTGGTTTAAATGGGGCTGGGGAGGGTGCTGGGTTCAGAGGCTAATCTGAAGATGAGGATGAAGAAGGAAGGGTCTGGAGAACGCCGCCTCGTTGATTTGCAGATGACCCCAGGAGCGCATGAACCATGTCTCCGGGCAGATGACTGCTGTTCTCTGAAGACCAGGAGTGGAGTATTTAAAGCAGGGGTCTTCAGACTTGGCCCTTTTATGACTTGTGGACTTCAACTCCCAGAATTCCTCAGAATTCACTTCATACAGGGGTCCTCAACCTTGGCAACTTTATGACTTGTGGACTTCAACTCCCAGAATTCACTTCATAAGTAGGACTTGCTCCCTCGTTCTAGAGCAGGGGTCCTCAACCGTGGCAACTTTATGACTTGTGGACTTCAACTCCCAGAATTCCTCAGCCAGCAAAGCTGGCTGAGGAACTCTGGGAGTTGAAGTCCACAAGTCATAAAAGGGCCAAGTTTGAAGACCCCCCCCCCGTGATAAGTTCTGGAGAATTCCTTTCTTTCAGCAACAACCGGATTGCCTGCTGAGCTCCTCTGCGGAGCCCCCCCCCCCGGCGCCAGCCTGACGAAGCCCTTCTTGCTTTTCCGCCCTCTCCAGCACCGAAGGAGGCCGGCTGGTGGAATCCGCCTGCGCGCAGGGCCCCAAACCCAAAAGCGAGGGACTTTTCCAACTCGCCCTCCCGCAGTCCGGATCCTCTTTCGGGACCCCTGCGGGGGGGGGGCGGAGGCGGCGGCTTTCGCGCGAGGCAAGGGCGACTTCTCGCAAGAGCGAAAAGCGCGCGAGTTTCCTTTGGGCGGAACTGGGCGGTCGCTCCTCGTGTGCCGCCGGATCCGGAGCGTGAGTGGCGGAGAGTGGAAGGGCGCGCGGGTAGCCATGCCGTCCGAGAGCAGCAGCAGCAGCAGCGACCGAAGTGCAGGTAACGCGGAGTTGCTTCGCCCCTCTCGCTGCGCGCGTTGCGCCGGGACAGAAAGAGCGCTCGGGCGGGCGAAGGGAGCCAAGCCTCTCCCCCACCATTGTTTTCCTTGCAGAGTCTCCGATGGCCGATCTGGGCGAAGCCGGAGCAGAGGATGCAACGCCGGTGATCACCCCGGCCATGCAGCAGGAGGAGGAGCGCTTGGAGGCGGAGGGCAGAGAGAAGGAGCGGCAGAGGATGGAGAAGGTGCGTGCCCCCAGCAGGAGGCCCGCTGTGTGTACACACACACACACACACACACACACACACACACACACACACCTACCTACTCTGGGCGGCCGGGTGATCAAGCAGGAACACACACACACACACAAACCTACTCTCTGGGCGGCCGGGTGCTCAAGCAGGAACACAGACACACACACACACACACACACACACACACACACACACACACACACACACACACACACCCCTGGGCGGCCAGGTGCTCAAGCAGGAACACACACACACACACACACACACACACCCCTGGGCGGCCAGGTGCTCAAGCAGGAAGGCGGGCTCGGCCGGGTGCCGCGGCTGAGCTACGCGGGGATGAGGGTCCGCAACAGGTGGCGACCCGCGCTGAGTTTGAAAGGAGCGGAAGGCGCCTCAGCATCGGCGCTCCGGAGAGATGGCGGTCCCAGTTCCCATCCAATGAGGGGGACCACCGTTCCTGGGATATTGGTTTCGCCCTCGAAGTGCGCCTACTTAGAAACTTTTTCTAACCTTAAATCGGAATCTAGCATTTTAACTTGCCCTCTAGAACAGGGGTCTCCAACCTTGGCAACTTTAAGACTCGTGGACTTCAACTCCTAGAATTCCTCAGCCAGCAAAGCTGGCTGAGGAATTCTGGGAGTTGAAGTCCACGAGTCTTAAAAGTTGCCAAGGTTGAGGACCCCTGCTCTAGAACGAGGGAGCAAGTATTGTTCATGAAGTGTTTCAATATTCCCCTTAACATTGTTTTTCCTCGAGGATAGACAAATATGGTTCCTTCTTACACTCGGGACAGGCTGCACTACTCAAGGTGGGACAGGGCATTCTGTAAAAGCTCTTTAGATTTTTTTTTTCATTAAAATTTTATCCAGACTTTATTTTTGGTCCAGTTTTTTTTCTACACAATACAGGGATCCTTTTTTTTTTTAAATGTTTTATTTGTAAAATTTTGTAAAAAGTATGCAAATAAAATTAATTAAAGCTCCTTTAACTCCACCCACTGATTACAAGCCTAGGTTTTCTCTTACCTAATTTTAGAAATGTAGGAAAATTATTATTTTTATTCATTTATTCAGTCAATGACCAGCAACATAAAATAATAAAAAGGGAAATAAAAGACAATTACAATCATGATCGATAGGGAGAAATTATATATTGGCAACTAGAAAATAAATCAAATATGGTATACTCTGGACACCCTTATTACAATAATATAACATGTTTATCTGACACTAATGTATCTAATACGATAAAACTATGCATTAAAATATATGTAGGAAATTCAGAGCAGAGCACTAGAAATATAATGTAAAAAATTTCCTATCATAACCTGGAGAAATTTAAATTGCAGATTTTCTTGGGTGAGTAAAAACCTGTATTTTCCATCGGATCCTTGAATAAAATCGTAGGACTGAACTATTTAAATTTCGTTTAGGTTTATCTGGTGAAAGATAATACCAACTTTTATATTCCGATAGTATGGTTAGTTAATGTTGATATTTATAATTGATTACTTTTTTTCTTACAGGCTTACATGAATCGGGACAGAGACTCAAATGAAATGCGTTACAAGAGACTTCAACACTTGCTTGAAAAAAGCAACATCTACTCAAAGTTCTTGCTGACTAAAATGGAACAGCAGCAATTGGAGGTTAGCAGCCTTTAAAATTAAACGCTAGATGTACCTATCTAATAATACATTTTAGATAAAGCTTTCATAATGTCATCATAATCTGTCATTGTGATTAAAAGCATCTTAAGTTCTGATCACTTTTATTTGATTTCATGGCATAGTTTCAGCCTAATATAAATGAGTCCACTTGTATTTGTGTGTGTATTTGTGTATATACACAACAGCTGCATATGCATACATACATGACAAAGCTAGTTTGGCTTTGGTTAAAGGGAGATTTGAGTTTCATTCTCTTTCAGTTCTAGGAAGAAGGCATTGGCAAACCACTTCCAAACAGTTGCCTAGAAGACTTATCCATGTAGTTACCAGGACTCAAGTCAGACTCAAATTGTGTGTGTGTGTGTGTATACACACTCAAAGTCACTATTTTTGTGACTACTAGCAAAGTTAATTATTTGACTTGTTTACTTCAGTCAAAAAACATTGCTATGGAGTACAACATTTTAGCATACCAATAGGCATTTTGTAGTATTGAAAATAGCGAATTAGAATCGAACTGCAACATAATTGAGATTATTTGAAAAAAGGAAAGAAAAATAAAAACATTTTCCTAATGGAAAGACTGAACATTTTATAAATTGATTAGCCAATCCTGTGGCACATTGAGCCTCCCATTGAGAGAAGGGTAATACATTCTGATGTAACCAGAATGAACATTAATTTTTAGGTTGACCATATTTTTTTACTCCAACGCTGGGGACTCCAGTGATCATCTGAGAAGGGTATATAATATCATAAGTAGAAAAACAATTGTAGTGGCAAATAAACTTCAATACTAAGGCAATATTTACTTGTCTAAACAGAAAGATCTTGGGGGAAAGAGGCAAAAATAGTAATGGGAGCCTGAGCAAATTCTGACTTTCTACCACTTCCCCATTAACTTTGCTTGTGGAAAACTGGTAGGAAGAGTCAGAAATCACAATAATGTGACTGTGAGGACTCTGATGGCCATAACTTTGCAAATAAAATGTCTGAATATTATGGAAATTGTGAGTCCCCAATTTTTATACATTCTTTAAGAGCAGATTTGAAATGCATTGTTTAAGCTGATTTGAGGGTACAAGTGACAAACAGAAGAACATAATGAGACTTTTAAAATATATAGCTATTGATAGAAACCCTGTTAATGTTAATTTTTGCATAAAAGCAGATAGCAATTTCTGATTGCTTATTTTAAAAAATGTAAAATTGTTACATGTTGCATTCTTTGGTAGTAATGTTCAATGAGTTATTTCTGCTTGTTAAGTGCTTTTGAAGAATTCAAGAAGCTTTTCACAGGTTTGCTGCTTATGTGTTTCAAATGAGGGCCAATATAGTTTAATCCAACATTAACAAAAAGCTTTGAACCCATTCAGGCAATCAAATCTGAGCACTTGTTTGAGGCACAAATCCAAATTAAAGAATTTTAAGTGAATGGGCAGTAGGAAGGGCATGGTAGAGATGGCATTAGTGGTGGTGCAAGCATAGCTATGAGAAGTTGAATAAATCAAGAAGGAAAAGGTTAGTTTTCAAGAAATGCAATTGTTCTACTCTATCAGAATCCAAACAGTCTCTCACTGGAGATCACAGCCTTGTGAACCTATTATGCGTTACCCATCCTCAGATGAATTGTATGAGGAAGGCTACATAAACATAGGATGCAAGAGTGCATGTAGCCTTAGCAAGCTGATGCTGAGCTGCTAAGACTTTTGAGCTAGAGTCAGAAAGAACCACCTAGATGTAGCACCATATCTAATCTATAAACAGCTGCTTATGCCTGAGTTGAATGGTCAATTTCTTTCAGTTCTCTTACAGCGCTTAGAAAAAAGTCAAATAGGACAACATTCTTAAGCTGTCATGAAACTGTACAAATGAGGGGCACAGAACGAGGATGAGGATGCCGGAGCTCCATTTTTCAGGCTTTCAGATCTTATCCTAACTCATATTATGGCATTATGAGTTTATGTATGATTCCTTGGAATTCCAGTGTTCTGATTAAAAGTTTCTATTTATTAGTCTGGCTTTAATTTTTTCCTCATCTTACAAAAAGTTTAGCTGCTTAACCAGTAGCTAAGCACTATGTTTTGTTATTGTCACAAAGCCTCTGGTTCACGGCCTTGTTATCTTGCCTTCCACTGTAAGCAGAACCTAATGTACTATTGCATTGTTGTTCTACTATGATATCCTTGATTCTCACTTTTTGTTCCTGTCTTTTCTGTTCTGGATTGATAAAGGACTTTGTGCTATTGGAATATTTTTCCTTCTGAAATATCAGTTCTGGTCTATTGTTCTGTTTACCCTACTGTTCCAGGAATCTAATAGGGCCTTTTCCGGCTAACAGATTTTATTAAAAGACCAAAGCATTTTTTGGACTGCAGCTCACTTGGCCAGATATAGATTGGCTAGACCAGACTTGTCAAACTTGCTACATCACGTGACATCGAGCAACATATCAGGACTGTTTTGCCATTGCTGGTAATGGGGTGGGCGCGGCTTCTGCATGACGCATCTGGCCTGCGGGCCGGCAGTTTGACACCCCTGGACTAGACCACAGAAACTCGTCACGTGACGTGTTGCAACTTTTTTTGCATTGCCAGAGCTGAGCGCGGCCTCTGTATGATGCAACTGGCTGGTGGGCTGGCATTTTGATACCCCTGGGCTAGACTGATATAAGATTTAAATTAGGGGGAAAGGACGGGAAGACAAGTTGGTTATGCAGATGCAAGTTACATATGAGACAAATTATAAGCATCTTGTCGGTTACTGTCAGCTATATGGAAAGTTGCTCTTTATTGCCACCAAGAGACTATATTCAAGAACAGCTTCCATGAGCATTCTCCATCCATGCTAGAAAAAAACTTCTTAAATTGAATGTTTCATTCCAAATGCTACCTAAACCAATTAAGATACTCACTATTAAAGTGAAAATAGTCTTAGGTACCAAAGCAGAGGTACATCAAATTTTGAAGTTCACTTACTTGTTGCATAAAGAAACAACTGATTTGTAAAAAAAAATATGTTTTAGGAGCAACAGAAGAAAGAAAAACTTGAAAGGAAAGGAACATTGAATACTGCAAAGGTAAAATCAACATTAAATGTTAGATAATTATGAATAAGCACTCTATTCAAATTGTTACTGATGCATTCTTTGTTCAGACTACTTATCCTTTGAGGGGTAATTGAAAAGCATGCATTGTGCTATATATATACTCAAATCAAATCCGTGATATCAAGATGTTTGTAATGTGAATATTCCTCCTCAGTGGCAGTTTCTTCTGTCTAACGGGTTAGTCTGAGATGTTTGAAATGTATGGATTGTACTCTTAGAAAGAGGGATTGTACTCTTAAAATGAGTCCAAGGAAGTATCTGTGGAGAAGACTTTTGAAAACTGATTTAAATTTATGTACAAAAATTATAAATACCCAACTTTGTTGCAAGTAGAGATACAGTAAATTATCTTGTTTCTATTTTGCAGCAATCTAGCTTAGAGAAATAACATAGTTTTGGCCAGGAGTCTTAAAATCAATTGTGCAAAATGAATGAAATTACAACTGTGAATTATTATGTAAACAAATATTAACATTAAAATTATTTTGTTCTCAATGTTTTGGTTTATAGAATGAAAAACTAAATGATCAGAAAGATCAGAAAATCGGTAAGTTTGATTAAAGACCAAAACTATTTTGTTACATATCTAGAAATTTTGGGTACTGAAATCAATACTTTATATTCTTATAGTTAAAAAGAAGAGAGTTCGAGAAGACAGAACATACAATATTTCTGATGTAATTTCAAAAGAGGTAAATTGCATAAATACAAATCCACAAAATATTACTGTTAAGGGATTCAAAGAGAAATTTTATTTATTTATTAAATGTATATAGCTGCCCATCTCACAGTTGTGAATTGTTCAATCGTTTTATTTTTTCATTTCTCCACAGGAAATTTTGTTAGCAGCCAAAAAAAGCAGAATTGAAAACAATGAGGTATATTTGAAGTTTTGAATACTGCTGTTATTATATGTTACCCTCTGATATTTATTTCTAAAACTTTCCTTTAAGAATTTTAAATATTGACTTTAGAAGCACTATGAATTTAAAATAATTTCAGGAGAGTGTTTGGAATTAGAGTACCAACTAAGCATGTTTCTTTTTCTCTGCTAATTGTCTAAAAACAAATGGAAAGCAATGGTAAAACACTCCCCATATAGCTGCAAAGAAAACGACATGTACCGTGTGTGTGTGTGTGTGTGTGTGTGTGTGTGTGTGTGTGTGTGTGTGTGTGTGTGTTTGTTTAAAGCACTCTGGACGTCCCCAACAGTTGAGCTTGATTCAATTAGTACTTTTTTGTAATCATAAAAGGTTAGTATTTGAAGGGAATGGCAGCAGCATGTATTAAACTGATTGTAATCCTGAAAATAATTAAAAATATTCTCTTATATGCATAGGTGCAAATGCCATCTTTAAAGAAGGGGTGGGGAGTGTCATTCTGTAATATAACAAAACATGACTTCATTGTGATGTTGGCTTGTTTAAGGGGCAGCGTACCTAAAGCCTCTGCATTTCCTATCATGTTAAGAAAATGAGAATTTGTTTTGTTTAGGTTTTTTAAAATTTTAAATAAGCCTGTATTCAGTTCTGGGAAGCTCGGGGAGGGGGGAGGGAGGGGGGGGTTGGGAGGGATTGGGTGAGGGTTGGTCGTTTATTTGTAAAACTTTTAAAAAATTTTCAATAAAAAAAAAAGAAAATGAGAATTTGTCTATTCTGAAGAAGCTTTCAGGAGCAGGGTAGGAATGCTGATGTGCAAATGTGCCTTTTGTTAATTCTGAGAGCTGTGAATATCGATGGAAAACTGTTTTAGTTTGGTCATTGTACTATATTTTGTAGGGAAGAGAAGAAAATTTGTTTCAAAAAAAAATATCTGTGACTTCTTTCATTTGCTGCATTTCCTCATAATAATAATCACATAACAATGAAATGCAGTGTCTGCAACATCTTTCCAATTATACCAAGCTACGTGAATACTGATATAAATGATTCTTATAATCATTGGAAATTCATGTTATAATTTACAGCACAACTTGAATTTAGACCAGTTTTTATTAGTAGTTGAGTTTCTTTTATAAGTATGGTAATGTATTGACTTTGTCTGGCTTATGTAACAACCCTGAAATAACTTACATAACTGATTGCATAAAAACTTGGCAAAAAATAAAAATAATAATATTGCCTATGTCTTTTCTTCTGTAGCTTGAAAGCAATCCACCCAAACTGTGTGCAGAAGAAATCCAGACTAATGGGGATTCAAACAGCATCATTAAGGATAGATTGGCACAAGTGATGCGACACAGTGCCAAGCATTTTGTTGATCCAAAACGAAAGTTTAAAGGACAGCCAGTACCTTTCCAGCAACCAAAACTTTTCACTGGAGGAGTGATGAGGTGGTATCAAGTTGAAGGCATGGAATGGCTTAGGGTATGAGTTTATTCTTTCTTATATAATCATATTTGGCTAGGTCCTTAGCAGTTAATCATGATAATGATTTCAAATAGAGGCATTTCACTCTCTGAAAAGATTCAGCTTTCTTGGAATAACTAAGTCAATTAATGCATTGTTATTCCTCCTCCTGTGTTTACTGGCCAGATTTTCATCTGAAGTTCAGTGACTTCAAGTGGGTGGCTACCAGAGAAACGGATTTTTGTGTGATCAAGATTGAAAAAGACTTGCTTGGCTCCACGTTGTGTTTTTTTGTTTTTTGTTTTCAGTGTAAAAAGATTTTTTTATTTTGTTGGGGGCGTTTGAACAATTATTTTGGTTGGTTTTGAATGTTAGCAACTTTATTAATTAAATGAGAGCCATGTAATGGTTAAGGCACCAGACTAGAAATCAGGAGACTGATTTAGGTGGGACCTCTTTTGGTGACCTTGAACCATTCGCTCTCCCTCTCTCAGCCTTATGCTGGCTCATATTTAGGTGATTGTCTACTAGGACTCCGAGGTCCCTCTCACAGTTACTACTATTGAGCATGGTGCCACCTATGCTGTACTTGTGCATTTGGTTTTTCTTGCCTAAATGTAGAACCTTGGTTTTTTCACCATTTTCACTTTTGAAATCTTGCCACAAAAACTAGGGAATGTCCAGGCAGTCACCAAGAGTCGACACTGATTCAAAGGCACGTGCATACACACACACACACACACACACACACACACACACACACACAAAACCCCAACCACTATCCACCTGATTAGCTTTTATGTTGTTGCCAGAATTATTGCTGTTCTTGATTTTATCTTTCTGGTACAAATAAATGGTTGACAAAGTTTAACTTTTAAGTGGCTTAATGTAGTAATAGTAATAAAGTTGGAAGGGACCTTGGAGGCCATCTAGTCCAACCCCCTGCTCAGGCAGGAAACCCTACACCATTTCGGACAAATGGCTGTCCAGTCTCTTCTTAAAAACTTCCAGTGTTGGAGCATTTACTGCTTCTGGAGGCAAGCTGTTCCACTGATTAATTGTTCTCACTGTCAGGAAGTTTCTCCTGAGTTCTAGGTTGCTTCTCTCCTTGATGAGTTTCCACCCGTTGCTTCTTGTCCTGCCTTCAGGTGCTTTGGAAAATAGCTTAATTCCTCTTCTTTATGGCAGCCCCTGAGATATTGGAATACTGCTATCATGTCCCCCCTTGTCCTTCTCTTCGTTAAACTAGACATACCCAATTCTAGCAACCGTTCCTTATGTGTTTTAGCCTCCAGTCCCCTAATCATCTTTGTTGCTCTTCTCTGTACTCTTTCTAGAGTCTCAACATCGTTTTTACATCGTGGTGACCAAAACTGGATGCAGTATTCCAAGTGTGGCCTTACCAAGGCATTGTAAAGTGGTATTAACACTTCACGTGATCTTGATTCTATCCCTCTGTTAATGCAGCCTAGCACTGTGTTGGCCTTTTTGGCAGCTGCAGCACACTGCTGGCTCATATTTAGGTGATTGTCTACTAGGACTCCCTCTCACAGTTACTACTATTGAGCATGGTGCCACCTATGCTGTATTTGTGCATTTGGTTTTTCTTGCCTAAATGTAGAACCTTGCTTTTTTCACCATTAAATTTCATTTTGTTAGTTAGTGCCCGGTTGTAAAGAACATTAACATTCCAGGTTTATTGCTTAAAAATAAATCACAACAGAACAACAGAGTTGGAAGGACTTTGGAGATCTTCTAGTCCAACCCCCTGCTCAAGCAAGAGACCCTATACCAGGCATGTCAAATTCGCGATGTCACGTGACTTTTTTCCCCATTGCCGGCAATGGGGTGGACGCGGTTTCGACATGATGCATTCGGCCTGCAGGCCGGCAGTTTGACATGCCTGCCCTATACCATCCCCAGACAAATGGTTGTCCAGTCTCTTACATGGTAGCCTTAAGGATCCCTTCTGGAAAATGGTGGCCGGAAAGTTCTTTCTAGACATTCGTTTGTGTCTTAGTAGTGCAAGGAAAGAATATTTTCTTGAAGTATCCTCAAGTTGCCAGAATTGTACCAAATTGTAGCCATTATTTTCAAGCCGTTTGGAGCACAGACATCCTTCTGTGCCTTGGATAATTCAAGTTAGAATTTCAGTTTCAGGTCTATTGTTATCTAGTCTTAGTTAAAATAACTCAACATGGTTGGATTCTTTAAGGCAGGTAAGGACATGCAGCTGGTAGCTAATGAAACAAAGATGATTAGGAGGCTGGAGGCTAAAGCATGGATGAAAGGTTGCAGGAATCTGTATGTCTAATCTAGTGAAAAGAAGGACTAAGGGTGACATCATAGCAGTGTTTCAATTTTGAAGAGCAGCTCAAAGAAGAGAGGGTCAACCTATTTTTCCAAAGCACCAGAAGGCAAAACAAGAAATAATGGATGGAAACCAATGAAGGAGAGAAGCAACCCAGAACTAAAGAGAAATTTCCTAACAGTGAGAACAATTAACCAGGGGAACAACTTGCCTTCAGAAGTTGTGGGTGCTCCATCAGTCCATCATCTGAAATGCTATAGGGTCTCCCACTTGAGTAGGGAGTTGGACTAGAAGACCTTGAAGGTCCCTTCCAACTCTTGTTATTCTGATGCCAGAGCTGATTCTTAATAAAGTGATACTATTACCCCCACCCCAATATTCCTATTGGGGAAAGGCTGTCATTGTATGAGTCTACAAAGGTTATCTTACTACTTTTCCCAGTTGAGAAGTGTGATCAGGTCAAGAAAACTGATATTAAGGCCTGCAACCATTTTCTGTGACTGAGGTCCCCAACCTTTTGGGCACCAGGGACCGGTTCTGTGGAAAGAGATTTTTTCCACGGACCGGAGGGGGTGTGCTTTTGTGTGCTGCCTGTATCCTGCGGATGGGGCTTTGCTTGCTTGTGCAGACCAGATGCTGGCATGCTCTATGAAATAGTACAGTGGTTCTCAACCTTTTTAATGCCATGACCCCCAACCGGTCGTAAGTCGAGGACTACTCAACTGGTGCAGCACCGTTTGCAGAATGGGACTTTTGGCGGGCTCAGCAGGGCAGAGACAGCCTGGACAATTCCTATTGGCTTTTGAAAGCCAATAGAATTAGACTCTATTCAAGAGCCAATAGAATAAAAGGGAGTAGCACAGCTAAGGAAAAGGGGGATAAAATGGCAGACTGCGTTGTTTGGCGACCCCCGTGAAATGGTCATTCGACCCCAAATGGGGTCCCGACCCACAGGTTGAGAACTACTGATATAGTAGGTTAATTTTACTTTGCTTCTCTTGGAGCCCATTGTCGTATATTTATGAATAATAAAAGCCTTCACCATTAGCCTTAAATAGAGGAAGAAAATACTAATGTTTAACACAAAGTTATTTTTTTACAAACAAGCAGCTCCAAAGTGCCAGTTGGAAATATCTAGGTATGTTTTTGGTTGAAGACCAAATATTGAAAATAGAATGCATGGAGGGCAGAAATATTTCCCTTAAGAAAGAATTCTACAGTTGAGTTACTACAACCCAAATGGCCGTCTTCCGGTCATTGCATGGAGATTACTCACCAGATGATTTTAGTGTATGGGTTGCAGGATAGTAGTCCTGAGCGAGAACATCTTGAGTATTTTTAAAACACTAGAACTTCCCAAATAATCTTTTGTGAAGGTAAATGGAAACACATAGAAAACATGGAAATCCATAGATAACAAGTAAAATAATTCTAAGTCAACATCCAGAGATTCTTTAGTAATAGAGAGAAAGCGAAATTAATTAGAATTTGTTGCTTGGTTAAAATGTTTTCCTATAGCTTTCCATTTTTTTAAAAAATCTGTTATTTACAATAAAATACAGATATTTAAATATTAAACTAAAATAATAAAAACATTCATAAAAAGATAGTAAAATATACCATAGATTGTGGCAAAATAACTATCCTCTGATTTGCCTGTAAGCTTGAAAGCTCATGAAGTTAGCCTTTGTTATTAATAATCAGGTCTTCCTGATTATTGTGTCTTGTGTTCATCTAGTCACCAAACAGATTAAATGAACATTTGGGTTCATTTTGCATCAAACAGATTAAATGAACATTTGGGTTCATTTTGCATCAAGGCGTTCACGTTTCAATTTTTATCCAGTCGTGTAATTGAAATATATGTCATCCCGACTTTACCACGAAGCAAGGGATTACAGGGTCATGAAAAGGAAAAAAAAATGTAATTGAAGTGTTTGTATATGTGTGTGTATTTCTGTGCAGATGCTCTGGGAAAATGGCATCAATGGTATTTTGGCTGATGAAATGGGCTTAGGGAAGACTATCCAGTGTATTGCAACAATTGCCTTGATGGTGGAGAGAGGAGTTGCTGGACCATTTCTGATATGTGCGCCCCTATCCACACTTCCTAACTGGATTGCTGAATTCAAAAGGTTTACACCAGAGGTGAGATTTTTTTTTTTAATGGTAAACTTGTTTTAGAAGCTATTATGGTTGATTACACAGTCAGTCTCTTTTCCGTCCTTTTCTTGGTCTTTCATGTAGCCCAGTTTGGTTTCTTCAGAACTCAGTAAGCCTTCATGATATACTAGTTTCAGTGCATTTTTTTTTTTTTGCTGTCCTTGAACCATTCCGCACCCAGCCATTTTCCTTGTCTGTCAGTGTTGCTGCATGGATGAAGGGCATGATTTGAGTCATTATTTTTCTGGTCTTCCTATCCAGGGCTTTTAGTTCTGCTTGAATCCAGGTCATTATTCCATCTGTGTATCCAATGACTGAAATTGCCGAAATGTTAATTGCCTTAATAATATTTCCTTCACTGAATTTGCCCTTTAACTTCACTTTCATGATGTATTCACTTCTAACCTTCTTGACTCAGTGTGTTTGATCTTATCAGCTTGGATGCCCAAGCATTTGCAGTGATTGTTTGTTTGTTTAGCAGCCAATGTCTGGCTGCCTGAGTGAAGGGCCAAGGGATCTATGGCAGGGGAGACAGGTAATAAGTTCCATGTTCCCCCAAGATCCCTTTTCCAGCTACAGACACATAAGAGTCCCTGAAAAAAATTGTTCTGCTGTATACTTTCCGGTTACATTTAGCTATATTTTAAAAATAAAAGGGTAGTTTTCATTGCTTGTAAAACTACTTCACCCTGCTTGATAAAAACAAGATTTAGTGTAATTATAATAAATATTTATTATGCCTTTGTATGCCACCTATATTGATTTAGTCACTTTATCTACCTTATTTAGGTAGATAAATAAGACAAAAGTCCATGGATTAGGAGTTCCAAGGCCTTTAAGGATGAAAAAACTGCAGAGTAAGCAGTAGCATCCCAACTAGAGGTTTTAATAAAAATACTGTGAAGTAAATCAAAACAAACATGATGTTTTATAAACATTTTTATAAACTTAGATTCCTATAATGCTGTACCATGGAACCCAGCAAGAACGACGTGGACTCATTCATAAAATGCGAAGAAAAGAAGGTTCAATGAATATCCATCCCATTGTTATTACGTCTTTTGAAATTGCAATGAGAGATAGACATTCTCTTCAGGTAATATAAGAAAATGCTGTTCAATTAACACTCCTTTATAGAATTGTACTTGGTATTTTATGCAAAATTACTGTTAATTAATCTATTTGAAGTGCTCATAGTGAATCATAACTCTCTTAAGTCAACACTCCAAAACTGGAATTATAGCTGTCTTGCTTAGTTAACCTTAGTAGCGCTGATGATGTTGCCTATTTGGGATGATGTTCGTTATTTGGGTAATGAAATATCTGCAGAAAACCAAGCTCAGAGAGAACCAAAGATCCCTCATTTCAACCCTGAGCTATAAATATTATCCTTTATTAGTATAAAAATATGTGAACCATAAAGCATTGTAGCCTTTAAGCACTAATATATTTACCATGATCAATACAGCCAGTCTCATTATGAATATAATATGCAAACCATTATTTTCCATAGAAAAAAAATCACATTCAATAATATAATAGGAAAAACTATATATTCTAATATAATATATTTAATTTTTTTTTAAACTGAACATACATTTCAAAGAAATGGAAACATCATTGATAAATTTTGCTTTTTGGAATAATTGAAGACTTTTTTTTTCCTCTAGAATTTCTACTGGAAATATTTGATTGTGGATGAAGGACATAGGATTAAGAATATGAACTGTCGCCTCATTCAGGAATTAAAACGGTTTAGCACTGATAATAAACTACTGTTAACTGGAACCCCACTACAAAACAATTTATCTGAGCTTTGGTCCCTCCTTAATTTCCTGCTTCCAGATGTGTTCGATGACTTGAAAAGGTCAGAATTGATTTATAAGTATTAACTGAACATCTGAAAATAAACCTTTTGTGGTTTCTCCAAAGGGTTTTGCTTTGACATTTCTCCCTTTCAGTAGACAAGAAATGAGTCAAGAATCTTCCAGCCATCACTTGTGGCAAATCATCACAAACAATAGTCCAGATCCTTGCGTCTTGAGAATGAGAGATGGACTATGACAGACATGTCAAACACAAGGCCCGGGGGTCTGATGCGGCCCGTGAAGTAGTTTCATGTGGCCCGCAAAGCCACATGAACGGCCTCTGCTGCCTTGGCCCTGGCCCAAGCCAGCCAGGAGCCAATGTACAATTTTGTGGTGGCCATCTATGCTGAAACGCATTTAGCTCCACAAGGCCGTCTGGAAACAGCAAGGAACCAGCCCCTGCCGTGTCAGCCCCACTCCCTGGGTGCATGCTGGGGAGATGTCACCCTTTGTGAGGAATGAAGAAATGGACCATGCCTTGGCGCTTGCCCCGGTCCCACCCCCTTCTGCCAGAGACCCTCAGATCTGTCCCACTCCTGCCCAGGCCCCCACAGGCACCCTTGACGCGAACGATGTAGAGCTGGCCATATCCATTCAGAAGGCCACACCCACTCCATGCCCACCCAGTAGGCCACACCCATCCTGGCCACACAAGGGCAACCACAATGCTGATGCGGCCCTCAATGAAATTGAGTTTGACACCCCTGGTCTATGAGAACAGTAAAGTGAGGTTATGGCCAGGCCCCTTTTAAAGATGGCAAGCATTCCTTGAGCACTCCAAGGCCAAGAATACTCATGATGAGCAACAAAACCAATGTTCAGAAGTTTTTCCAGATATGACAGTGAGCAAATCCATGTCTGGGAACGGTCTTTGGAACATTTTATTTCTGATGTGGAGAGAGACTTGTCTTGGGTAGTTACATTATTTGGTAGTTTGTGCTGGAATGGGGAGGGGAGACATGATAAGTAGAGTTTCATTGCAATCATTGGACAAAGTTTCGTGCTTTGCATCTCTTGTGCCCTTTCTTGAAAGGCAAAATAATATGAACAAGAAAAAATACATTTTGGATAATCAAGTGCACATTGCAGACCTTGATTTTTTTTATTACAGAACTAAATTGTAGCTTCTCGCTTCTTAATTCATTTTTTTTGTCAAGTTCTCAATTCATTTTTCTTGATTTTTTTTTCTAGTTTTGAATCCTGGTTTGACATTACCAGCATTTCTGAAATTGCTGAAGATATTGTTGCTAAGGAAAGAGAACAGAATATCTTGCACATGTTGCACCAGGTCTGTTTTCATTGCTTAAAATATATGTTATTTTCCTTCCAGGTTGCCACTCTTTCTTTTAAATATTATATTGTACCATATTATTGATAACTATATATGACCACACATGAATATATTTGCAAATACCACTGTTAACATATATCTGCGGGCAGGGGTAGGCAACCTTGGTTCTTTTATGACTCGTGGACTTCAACTCCCAGAATTCCTGAGCCAGCCATGCTGAGGGAAAGGGAGAGGTTTCGAAGCTGAGCCATGCTGGCTCAGGAATTCTGGGAGTTGAAGTCCACGAGTCATAAAAGAGCCAAGGTTGCCTATTCCTGTCTGCGGGCATCCTTATTTTCCAAGTGTGAATTCCTCACAGTGAAGATATATTTGCTGAGAAATTAAAGAATTTTTTTCTCATGACACTGTTCTTATACTCAATACTTGAACATTCAGGATTTAGTCTTTGCCAAGGGCAATGGTTGTTGGTTGGTTGGTGAGTATAGATGGGGGGTCATGTCTTTCACCAGTCATAAAGATTGTGATTGCTTCTGTTTTGTGTTAGCTATAGTAGAGAGTGGGCTATATGTGGAAATATTTTGCCTTGATGAAAGTGAGACTGTTTATCTTCTCTTCCATTTTTACAAAAAAAAAAAAAGATTTAGAACTCTTAATTCTTTGCCTTAGAAGGAAAATTTTAAGCACTTAGTCGTTTACAGAAGAGGTTTGCCAAGGCCAGATTTTCTGTGAAAATGCAGTTGAAAGCAATTACATACAAAACTTCACATCATGCAGTCTTGGAATGACAATGCTTTCTTTTGAAATAAGCAAGGTTCTTAATCATAAACGGATAGAAATGTATTTTGACTTTTTTGACTCTAGATTTTGACTCCTTTCCTACTGAGAAGACTGAAATCAGATGTAGCTGTAGAAGTTCCTCCCAAGCGTGAGGTTGTGGTCTATGCACCTCTTGTTAAGAAACAAGAAATTTTCTACAGTGCCATTATAAACAAGACAATTCAGAAGCTTTTGGGAAACAACCAGGTATTTGTTTCTGTATTTTGGCTTAGGGATGTTTTGGCCATTGACTTCTGTTTGGGTAAAGATAAGAGTATAGATCAGTGGGTTCTCAACCTTTTTAATGCCGTGACCCCAACCGGTCGTAAGTCGAGGACTACCCAACCGGTCATAAGTCGAGGACTACCCAACCGGTCATAAGTCGAGGACTTTCCCTGCCAAGGAGCGCTTCGCATGCGTGGTGCCGCCCCCTGCGCCGGCCGAGGCGTAGCTGGCAAGCAGCAGAGACGGCGCAGGCCGACCACCGGCTGGGCCACCAGCTGGCCCAGCCCAAGGGAGGTAAGGCACCCGCTGGGCCCCACGCGCACCAGCAACCCTCCCTGCGCCCGCCGGCCTCCCACCCCTGGCCCTCTTTTACATTTTTAATAGTTACTCAGCAGGGAGGGGTGGAAGCTTCCAGACAGCTCGCCTTCACTGCAGACAACTTGCAGCACCGTTTGCAGAATGGGACTTTTGGCGGGCTCAGCAGGGCAGAGACAGCCTGGACAATTCCTATTGGCTTTTGAAAGCCAATAGACTCTCTATTCAAGAGAGTCTATTCTACTGGCTTTCAAAAGCCAATAGAATAAAAGGGAGTAGCACAGCTAAGGAAAACGGGAAAAAAATGGCGGACTGCGTTGTTTGGCGACCCCCGTGAAATGGTTGTTTGACCCCAAATGGGGTCCCGACCCACAGGTTGAGAACCACTGGTATAGATAGAAGGAAACTGAAAAAGCTGAAACATCTCATTTCCATTTTGTATCACTTCTCCTCCACTAAACATATGAAGGAGGAAGCTGGAATACTGAATTATGGAAAATAAAGTCACTTGGACCCATTGTAACTTAAGACTCTAGCACTGGGACAAGTCATAGGAAAGTAACTTCAGCAGTCACGTCTCTTCTTATCTTGAATTCTTTGCCTCTTGTAGATTTTGAAGTTACTGAGATATGAGGGCAAATACCTGCTTACTTGACTCTCCACTAGTCTGGAATTGAGAGGGGGTCAATGCCCATTTATAACAGAATTGGAAGGGATCTTGGAGGTCTTTAATCCAATGCTCTGATCAAACAGGAGACCCTATACCATTTCAGAGAAATGGTTGTCCAATCTCTTCTTAAAAATCTCCAGTGTTGGAGCACCCACAATTTCTGGAGGAGGTCATTCCACTGGTTAATTGTTCTGTCAGGAAATTTCTCCTTAGTTCTAGGTTGCTTTCTCTCCTTGATTAGATTTAATCATTGCTTCTTGTCCTGCCTTCAAGTGCTTTGGAAAATAGATTGACCCCCTCCCTCTCATTTACAACAACAACAGCTTCATTGTCACTTTGAATGTACACCAATCAGCATACATCAAAATGAAATTTCATTGCATACAGCTCTCAAAGGGTCACCACCTCCGATATACACTCCTTGTTTGTGGCCAGCTGAAGTTTCAGATAGTCCATTTTAGTTTCTAGGGAGCGAACGAAAATCAGAAAATCCTAACTATCAACATAGATAAAAATCACTACATCACTAAAAATAACAATGTCATCTACCTATTAATTAGAACTTGGTTAGCAATCAATCCTCTATTCTGAGAAGTTAGATCCTTTTCAAATTCTAACGTGTCTCTAACCATTGATAAAATTTATCCCAAGTTATAAAATAAACTGAATCATCTTTTTCTTTCATCTCCAAGAACATTGCTTAATTTTAATAATTAAAGTAATACAAGCGGAAATTACATCTCGATATAATTTCACAAGGCAGCTGATACATAGAAAGCTGAATTCATGAATTGTGGTTTTAGACTAGAATAGAGCTGGAAGGGACCTTGGAGGTCTTCTAGTCCAGCCCCCTGCTCGAGCAGGAGAACCTATACCATTTCAGACAGGTGAATGTCCAGTCTCTTCTTAAAAACCTCCATTGATGGAGACCCACAATTTCTGTGGGCTAGCTGTTCCACTGGTTAATTGTCCTCATTGTCAGGAAGTTTCTCCTTAATTCCAGGTTGCTTCTCTCTTCGGTCAGCTTCCAATCATTGTTTCTTGTCCTGTTCTTGTTTTGGCGAGGAGTATCTTTGCACAACACCTAAAATTCTTCTCTAGCCTGTTAGATTTGGCAAGAATTATCCCTATTTTAGCTGCATCTTGTTTTTCCTTTGCATTGGCTATCCTTGAAAAGTGTCTGAAAATTGCAGTTTGCTCAAAAGTAAGCTTGTAATAGTGCAAAGTACAGAGGTTATCTGATTCCATTAGGAAAAGTTCCAGTTGTCAATATTGCACTATTTAAGGTGCTATTGACTTTTAAAGCTGTAAATGGCTTAAATCGCATTATTTAAGAACTGGTTCTCCTGTTATGAACCTATCTAGCTTTTACGTTTTGCAAGAGAAGCTCTTTTTGGCTCTGCCACCTTCTGACATTCAAGAGGGGGCCTCCTGCATCGCTCTAGGCTTCAAAACAAGCTCTCCTGAGACTTGCATTTAACTTAGCTTCTAGTCCTTCCCACATTGCCGGAGCTCACCAAACGGACTTGCAGATCCCACAAATCTAGAAGTGCCTAACACTTTAGAAAAGAAATAAAAGACTCAAAGGCTTAGACAGGCTTAAGCAGTGGACAAAACAGGCTGAAACTTAACAGGGAGTGATGTAAAGTCTGCATCTGGGGATCAGAATATGAAAAACATAGGCAGAAGATGGAGGAAAACTGGTTTTTCAGTATAGTATATGTGAAAAAGAGTAGCTTCTCTCCTCAAATCTCTCTGGAATTATTCTTGGTTTTCTGACCATTTTTCCTCGTAAGGAAATATCCAATTAATCTGCCTTAGTCTATCATTTCATCTCAAATATAGTCAATTAACAAATAGCTCCAACCTCTTCCAATCATTATTCCACAGATTGTAATAGGGTGATGAAGCAATGTTCCAATATTTCCATCAATAGAGTTGCCCACTGATAAATAATTTGGATCACTATAGATTTTGTACAACTTCAATTTATACAACTTTAATTTCAACCACTGAAGTCAATCTGCTCAATACAAGATTCCAGATTAAAAGGTGACTTTCCAGATTTCATCTGAACACATCCAGGACAGAAGAGCCATCATTTCTCTCAGTAATTTAGGTCAGTGTCTAATGGGTCTTAGTGGGCAGGACTTTATTCTTAACATTCAGAATTTGCTTTCCTGTAATTCAGAATAATTATTTTATGACCCCTGGAATGACGGATAACAGGTCTTGACCATCCCCTTTGGAACTTCCTTTTAGGTTTTTAAAAAGTGTTGTCATAATACCCTTCTTTTCTCTAAAATTCCCAGCTCCACCAGGCTTCCCAAGACTTATTTTCTATTCTCTGATCATCTTGCGGTTCTTCTCTGAGTCTGTTCCAATATCCTTGATTATAATATTTCCCTTTTTTTTTTTTGCAATCATTCACCCTATTGACTGAAATAGTTTTTGATCAGTCACAATTCTGCATGCATGTTTTTTAAAAGCCTAGTTTTTGGATTACAAGTAATAAGAGAAGGGGTTGATGCTTCCTGCCAACATTTGACCTGAAGAAACTACAGTCTTAGTTGAGGGAAAAATATTTTGTCAGCTTGAAAAAGACTCTTCTTCTGTTATCAGTGGGATATATTTTTTTTAATTGTACTTTTTGCAAATTCATATTCCCCTGTCAGAACATATACATCTTAGTATTTATCATTAGTTTTAGTTTCAGTCTTAATGGCCAGGTCTTTTAAGCCACTGCTTGATAGGGCCATTGTATTCATTGTTTTTTTTTTTAAAAAAAGTTTTATTGATTTTTTAATACAATTCAACAGTGCTTATTCAACAAACGTGTTGTCTGAGTTTATCATTCATTAATACAAATTAAATTCCTAATCCCTAGTTCCGTGGTGGCGAACCTATGGCACGGGTGCCAGAGACGGCACTCAGAGCCCTCTCTGTGGGCACGCGTGCCATTGCCCTAGTCCTAGGCCTTCAGCTGGGTTTTATAAAACCTTTTCGCTTTAGGCTTCCGCCGCCGTGTGCAAAAAAAAAAAAAAAAAAGGTTCAATCAGTCAATTTCAACTTCTCACGGGGAAAAAAAGATCTTGCAAAGTTGGAATTGATTGATTGAACTTTTTAGTCCCACCCAGTCTGCTGTTATCACTGCAGCCTCACCCACCCAATGGGCCACGCCCACCTGGCACTCAATGCATAAGTAGGTTTTTGGTTGCAGTTTGGGCACTCAGTCTCTAAAAGGTTCACCATCACTGCCCTAGTTCATTTTTCCAGCCATTTGCAGTATTTATTGTGGTAGAAGCAACAATCTACTTAGGATAAGTGTTCTTCTTTCCCCCAACTAGTCCTCCTGCCTCTTAAGAAACTCACTGTCTGCTTCAAAGATACAGACAATCTGGCAGTCTGTTTGCAAAAATCAGTCATCTTTGGGGCAGATAAATATTTGCATGCTGTTGGGAAAACATTATATTCAGACTTGGATTTCTACCTCTGTATGGGTTGCCTCCATTGCTTTATTATAATTACAAGCTGTAGAAGTTCTGTTTCTAATGCAAACAAAGTCATCCTTTCCCATGTGTGTTTATCTTCCAGCGTCTTACAGGGCAACAATCTGGTATATGCAATATTTTCAACGATGAGCATTGGGCATTCCAATAGCGTGGATTATTCTGTGATAGACCATGTCTTTGGTCATTTTTAACTCTTCCCCTTCACCAGTTTTTAGCTTTTCTCTTTTTCCATAAACGCAAATCCCAGAAACACACTGTCAACGCTGCTTAATATTGAATATTCTTGCTTTGACAAAATATGCAGAACTGTCTGGTATTTTTAGAGTTAATTCAGATGACAGAGAAAAGGGAGGGGAAATAACAGAAGCCTGGGAAAAGGAAGGGAAGGGAATCTCTGCCCTCTGGGCTAATTGGAAGATGTGACTTGTGACTGCAAGATAAGGGAGGGGTTTAGCAAGAAAAGTGAGAGGCCAGCAAGAGGAATTCAGATTCCGGCATAAACCTCCATGATGCGCCCTCAATTTGTAACACTGGTAATGAAGGCTTTAGGATAAACATGCCTGGAAGTTCTTTGAAGTGTTTCATTAGTCGGAACCATGACACACATTAAACAAGAACTAGGTATTTGAGTGGTCACTTACTTATTTTCACACCCTAATTTTCACTGCTCTGTCACTTGGCTGAATTGTGAGGAATAAACTGGAGCAGAGATGGCATCCACTGAGGAGGGCGAAGGAAAATGTACCAGGCAGGTGCAGGACCCATCAGTATAAATGTACTGATCGTTGCTCAAGGAACACATTTCTATCAATCAGGGAGGTCCACAACCTCGGCCACTTTTATGACTTGTGGCTGAGGAATTCTGGGAGTTGAAGTCCACAAGTCATAAAGTAACAAAGGTTGGGGACCCCTGCTCTAAATAACGAGGTCTTGCATTTCATAGGAAGAAGTTGTGGAGCTGAGTTCTACAGGCCGACCAAAGCGACGCAGTCGGAAAGTAGTTAATTATCGTGAGCTCAGGGAAAATGAATTTCCTGACGCGCTGGAAGAACTAATCAGTAAAACACAAGAAGAAGCTGAAAAAGAGAGGTATTTAATCTAAATTTTGTTTAGATTATTTGCAATATACCTTCACTGCCAGGTAACCGTGAGAAATAAATTCATAATAAACCTAAACATCATTCTCAATCTTATTGATAAAATATTCTACATACCGGTAGCTATCGATAATCAGCCCCGAAGCAGAATAATTGGATGAAATAGCTCTTGGAAGTGTAATACTATACTGACACGTTTGGTAGATTTTACTTGTAGCTTTATTTCAACTTGCTTTCATTTGCAAGGCCAGTGATTGCAATGGATATGCCTTTGGATTCAGAAATCAACCTTAAGTTGCAGAACATTATGATGCTGCTGAGGAAGTGTTGCAACCATCCATATCTTATTGAGTATCCCCTGGACTCTGTCACACAGCAATTTAAGGTAAATCTTTACTCTTTGCTTCGAGTAGACATAAACATGTGGGTCTAGTTTAGACCTATTTTAATAGTGTTGGTTGAAAAACTACGGCTTTAGTCAATTGTTAAGCAAGGCTGTTGGCTGGCCAAAAGAAGTAGGGTTTAAAGTATCCTGTATATACCCGCTAAGTCAGTGATGGCGAACCATTTAGAGACCGAGTACCCAAAAACTGGCCCCGACCCTGCCCCCATTCTGTCCCCCCACCCCCCACCCTGCCTGCCCGCAGGGTCACTCACTGCCTCCAGGGCCCACCGCAGATCACCCAGGCAGCCCAGCAACACTATGGCGGTCATGCCCTCTGCCTGCACCCTGCAGCATCAACTGTGCATGATGGGGTGTGAGGGCAGAGTCTTGTCTACACTGCCTGGCTGCCATGTCCTTGGCTGTGCTGCTCCGTATGGGCCCCGCTGGGGCAACTCCTTCAGGGGGGCTGCTGGAGAGGAGCGGGTCGCAGGGGGAGGTGAGGCTGGGGCAACGGCACGTGTGCCCACAGAGAGGGCTCCGAGTGCCGCCTCTGGCACCCATGCCATAGGTTCGCCACCACTGCGCTAAGTGATGGAATATGGGCAACATTTTGTTGGTATGCAAGGTAGTCTTTCAGCTAAACATCCTGGCTTACATATACTGTTGCGTGGATTAGATCAGTGGTGGCGAACCTATGGCATGGGTGCCAGAGGCGGCACTCAGAGCCCTCTCTGTGGGCACATGCGCTGTCGCCCCAGTCCTAGGCCTTCAGCTGGGTTTTATAAAACCTTTTTACTTTAGGCCTCCACTGCCATGTGCAAAAAAAAAAAAGGTTCAATCAATCAGTCAATTTCAACTTCTTGGGGAGGGGGGGAGATCTTGCAAAGTTAGAATTGATTGATTGAACTTTTTAGTCCCACCCAGTCTGATGTGAGAGACATCATTCTGTGGGAGTGGGGGAAAGGAAAGAAGGAAAAAATTAAAACAAGAGAAAGTACAATGACTTCAAGAAGAGAAAATTTAAGCCCCACGTGAAAAAAATCTTAAAAGATTTGATTAATCTGGGCCAAGAATCAATACAAGGAAATGTGTGGAAGCTGCATAGAACAGAGTGGAAATAATTACACAACAGATACGTAGAATTGTACTAAAAGGAAGTATAAATAATGCTTATCAGAATGATGAACTAGAAAAGGATTTGGGTGAGGGAAAATACATATAACAGAATACTACAAAAATAAGAATGAGAGAAAGATAATACATGTAGAGGAAATGGAAAGGAGATTCTAGATGACGCAGGAATAGCAGTGATGTGTTAAAAAGTGGAATTGAAACAAATTGTATTGTTAATGTCTAATAAGCATCGACAAAAATTGAGAAAGTTAGAAATAGTAAGGTGCAGGTGCAGGCAGTGTAGCTGGAGAAATGTTGAACTAGTTTGATTCTGGAGGAGTTGTGTGCCTTATTTAGCTTGTATATGGATATTGCGTTGGTAGCTGTAGATGTAATATAAGATTAGAATGTCACCTGTATTGCTCCCCTGTCTTGCACAAACAAAGATATGCAAAACCTCCAGAGTTTTAAGTGCATCTGGGAAGATGCTCAGCAGAATTTTGATTGAAAGAAGTGGCAATCAGCAAAATTGGGGAAGAGCAGAGCAGCTTTTGGCTAGACTTGAGGGTATGCGAACTAGATTCTTGCTTCCTGCCAGGTCATGCGTAAACTAGGAGAAGATAAGTTTATTGTTCATTTGTTCATTTAGGGCAGTGCTTGCCAGAGATGGGTAAATTATCCAAAATTGAATAAAAGTGGTTTTTCTTTGGTAACGGTATGCAAACCCATTACCCGATCACAACACGGATATGTAAATTGATACTGGGTAAAAAGGATTTTCTAACAGTGGTTTGGGATTGATTTAAGAAATATGATTTAAATGAAAGAAAAGGTTTGGGATTGATTTAAAGAATATGATGAAGTATATAAGCATATAGCATGTAAGTGTTGCTTGAGCAGGGCAGGGTCTGCAGAATTATCGGGGACACTACACATCCTCTTCACAACTTGTTTTCCTCTGGGAGGAGGGGGATTCGTGGTATCCGAAGCAGAACATCCAGATTCAGTCAACAGTTTTGTTCCATACAGTATTAACTTTGTGAACTCTAAAGCTTCCTCCTTCCGTTATGTATTCAAGATGGACAGTGATTAATATTTATATGTAGGGGTGTAGGTACATACATTTATTGTATATAGAAGTTTATATGTATGTTATATATGTGTACGCTTTTGAGAGCAGGCAACAGAATTTCATTTTTAATGCGTGCTAGTGTGCTCACACTGAAAAATGACAATCAAGGCTATCTTATCTTAAGTAAATTGCCTTGTATTGTAAAATATTTTGCATGAATATGTGTTGTTGGATGCAACAAGAGAAATTATGGTGAAAATAAAAGATACACTAGAACCGAATACTTAGTGACTGGTTCACCATGCAGCACAGAGCAGTCAAGGATGCCTCCTGTCTACACTTTTACTGCCATAATTATACTGATAAGAAAATATAATCTTGCCTTCAAGATCATCCAATTTTCTTTATTCCAAGTGGAGGATTTTCCTATATATAAAAAAGTTTTCATTTATAATAACAATCCCATTTCATCAGTAACTAGGCATTTATAAATATTTATAAATATTCAGGACACTTTGTATTTGTAGACGACATCAGTTCTGTTAACTGTTAAGCAGTTATTTCAGTTATCAGGTATTCTGTCTATTAACCAAAAAGACATACTTGCCAGAATTAGAATCTGTGAAATCTGTTTGTTTATTCATGTCAGAAGCATCACAATTAAAATAAGGCATACTATATGACATAAAATTTAAAATATAAAGTAAAAGATTAAAATATATACAAATTAAACAAACCCTGCCCAGAAACTAGCAACATTAATTGTGTTCTGTCATGCTGTTGTGAGGTCCTCAAGTGTACCCTGATCAGAATATAAAGGGCAGTTACATGTATGTGTTGTTTTCTGCTGGTCATCACAATCACGAAGAGCAGAAGCCACTGGATAGCCCCACTTGTTTAGAGTGCCTCTGGACCTTATTGTACTCGTGTGCAGTCAGTTCAACGATTTTCATACTCCCCAGCTTTCGTCAATCCCGGTGCCAGCTCCTCCGTTGTTTCCATCTAGTGTTGGTTCTTTGTAGCTTCCCATATATCCATTCTGCTTTTAAATTCCTCAAAATCTTCCATTGGCATAACGAACCTTTTCCTGGAATCTATGTCTTTCTTTGCTATTCTGTGATAATAAAGGAAATGAGACCATATTTACATACATTGCTTTTGAAAGGCCAAGAAAAGCAGCATGTTAAAAGCAGTATCTATAATATATTCATAATATAGTTTTTTGTTGTTGTTGTTTCCCCTGTCACGTGAAGGTGGACGAGGATCTAGTAAAGAATTCTGGAAAAACATTACTCTTGGATCGCATGTTACCAGAACTAAAAAAGCGAGGACACAAGGTATTTTTTTTAATTTAGTAGTGTGTGTGTGTGTGTGTGTGTGTGTGTGTGTGTATGTATGTGTGTGTGTGTGTGTATATATATATATATATATATATATATATATATATATATATATATATATATATATGTAGGTCTTTGGTTGTTCGGGTTTTCTCCCACGTAAAATTGGAAGTGTCGTGGCGACGTTTCGACGAAGTCCCATTCGTCATCTTCAGGCTGGTGCTTTCAGCTTCGTGCCTCGAGCAGCAATGTGTGGTCTTAGCTGTTTCTTCCTTTTAACTGCCAGTGGGGGTATGAACTGATGGGGTGGGAGCTTGGCTGTGTTCTGATTGGGTGGAGGTGTGTTCTGATTGGTTAGGGGCGTGGCTGTGCTCTGATTGGCTGGGGGGTTGGCTGTGCTCTGATTGGCTGTGGGGTTGGCTGTGCTCTGATTGGCTGGGGGAGTGTTCTGTTTGGTTGTGCTCAGGTTAGTCTGAGTTGCAGAGGGAGTCAAGATTTTGGGCTGCCCTGCCATTCCTTGGCTTCGTGTTCGTGGTCGTGCTTCCTCTTCATGGAGGGTGTCAGTTTGCTTCATGTATGGATTGGGGGGGTTTAAAGTGGCTAATGATGCAGCTGTGGTCTGGCTTCTGGTTTGTGGTCGTGCCTCATAGTCAGTTTGTTTTTTGCGTGGATGTTTGGTGGTGACATCCTGTGTGGTTTTTGTGAGTGTGGGTCTGGTATCATTTTTTGTGTTAGGGAGTCGTTTGTCAATGAGGGCGGGTTTCCAAATGGCTGGTAGGCGGGAGGTATCATCTCGCTTGTTCATGCTGTGTGGGCGTTTTTCTATCTCGATGGCTTCTCTGATTTTCTGTTATTAAAATGTTCACTTTTGGCAATGGTTCTGGTATTTTTAAAGTCAATTTCATGTCCTGTGGCTTTAAGGTGTTGGACCAGGGAAGATGTTGGTTCCTCTTTTTTGACTGGGTTCTTATGTTCTTCAATGCGTGCACTTATTCTTCTGTTGGTTTGTCCGATGTATGTGGTGGGACAAATGGTGCATGGGATTTCGTATACTCCTTGATTTTCTAATTCAATTTTATCTTTGGGGTTTCTAAGGATGGTGGATATTTTTCTGTTTGTGCAGAATGCTTTTTTGATGTTGTGTTTATGGAGGATCTTACTGATTCTGTCTGTGATGCCTTTTATGTATGGGAGGATGTATGAAGATGACGAATGGGACTTCGTCGAAACGTCGCCAAGACACTTCCAATTTTATGCGGGAGAAAACCCGAACAACCAAAGACTACATATATATATATATATTATATATATATATATAATATATATATATATATATATATATATATATATATAGGTCTTTGGTTGTTCGGGTTTTCTCCCGCGTAAAATTGGAAGTGTCTTGGCAACGTTTCGACGAAGTCACATTCGTCATCTTCAGGCTGGTGTTTTAGCTTCTTGCTTTGAGCAGCAATGTGTGGTTTAGCTGTTTCTTCCTTTTAACTGCCAGTGAGGGTATGAACTGATTGGATGGGAGCTTGGCTGTGTTCTGATTGGGTGGAGGTGTGTTCTGAATGGTTAGGGGCTTGGCTGTGCTCTGATTGGCTGGGGGAGTGTTCTGTTTGGTTGTGCTCAGGTTAGTCTGAGTTGCAGAGGGGTTTAAGATTTTGGGGTTAGGGAGTCGTTTGTCAATAAGGGCAGGTTTCCAAATGGCTGGTAGGCGGGAGGTATCATCTCGCTTGTTCATGCTGTGTGGGCGTTTTTCTATCTCGATGGCTTCTCTGATTATTCTGTTATTAAAATGTTCACTTTTGGCAATGGTTCTGGTATTTTTAAAGTCAATTTCATGTCCTGTGGCTTTAAGGTGTTGGACCAGGGAAGATGTTGGTTCCTCTTTTTTGACTGAGTTCTTATGTTCTTCAATGCGTGCACTTATTCTTCTGTTGGTTTGTCCGATGTATGTGGTGGGACAAGTGGTGCATGGGATTTCGTATACTCCTTGATTTTCTAATTCAATTTTATCTTTGGGGTTTCTAAGGATGGTGGATATTTTTCTGTTTGTGCAGAAACCCCCACCAAAATCCAAGACAAAGAACAAGAAAACGGCAAAGCCCTCCTCCCATACATAAAAGGCACCACAGACAGAATCAGTAAGATCCTTCCATAAACACAACATCAAAACAGCATTCTGCACAAACAGAAAAATAACCACCATCCTTAGAAACCCCAAAGATAAAATTGAATTAGAAAATCAAGGAGTATACGAAATCCCATGCACCACTTGTCCCACCACATACATCGGACAAACCAACAGAAGAATAAGTGCACGCATTGAAGAACATAAGAACTCAGTCAAAAAAGAGGAACCAACATCTTCCCTGGTCCAACACCTTAAAGCCACAGGACATGAAATTGACTTTAAAAATACCAGAACCATTGCCAAAAGTGAACATTTTAATAACAGAATAATCAGAGAAGCCATCGAGATAGAAAAACGCCCACACAGCATGAACAAGCGAGATGATACCTCCCGCCTACCAGCCATTTGGAAACCTGCCCTTATTGACAAACGACTCCCTAACCCCAAAATCTTAAACCCCTCTGCAACTCAGACTAACCTGAGCACAACCAAACAGAACACTCCCCCAGCCAATCAGAGCACAGCCAAGCCCCTAACCATTCAGAACACACCTCCACCCAATCAGAACACAGCCAAGCTCCCATCCAATCAGTTCATACCCTCACTGGCAGTTAAAAGGAAGAAACAGCTAAAACCACACATTGCTGCTCAAAGCAAGAAGCTAAAAACACCAGCCTGAAGATGACGAATGTGACTTCGTCGAAACGTTGCCAAGACACTTCCAATTTTACGCGGGAGAAAACCCGAAACAACCAAAGACCTATATACAAATACCCGCGAAAACCTCAGAAAAACATATATATATATATATATATATATTTCACACCTCTGAGATAGGTTACTAAGGAATATTTCCTCAATTTAGGTGGTGCTGTTTTCACAAATGACCCGAATGTTGGACATTTTGATGGACTACTGCTATCTGAGAGATTACCAGTTTAGTCGTCTGGATGGAAGCATGTCTTATGCAGACAGAGAAGAAAATGTAGGTGGCTTTTTCTCAGAAACTTTCACCTGATTTGCTTAATTTTTCTAAGATTTATCAAGAAAGCAAGCTGGGAGTAAACTATTAGACTTCAACTTAATCCTCTGCAAAAAAAATCGTTGGGAAGTCCTGTTGCTCTATTTTGTAGAGTTGTTGTTGAGATGATAATGTTGTATATTGCTGGAAATTAGTTTGGATTATGGTTTGGAAATTCGTGTGGATTAATGGATTATGTCTTGAAACATACATTTGCGATGAAAAATATATCCCAAATATTTAGATCAGTGTTTTTCCACTTGGCAATTTTAAGTTGTGCGGACCTCAACTCCCAGAATTCCCCAGCCATGCTTAGTTCAAAATGTAGGTTATCATGAATAATTGCAGATAGAAGAGCATAACTTCAAAACAGTTTGGAATTTTCATGCCTCTTTTTATTTTATTTTTTTTTATTTTTTTGTTTTTTTAACAAATCCCCTTCCCATACCCCCCCCCACCTCACCCCCCCCCCTTCCCAACCTCCCAAACCCTCCCCTGGACTTCCCAGAGCTGAGTACAGGCTTAATTAAAAAAAAAAAAAACTTAAAACACTTTTAAAACCTAAACAAATTTAAATACAATCATCATTCTATATAAACTCCCTCCAAAAACACAAATTTAAACATTACTTTCTTTGAATATCTATATCTATAGTATAAAATCTAATTTCTCCCTCTTTCTTTATCCTAAAACGAAAAAATAAACATACAAATCTTTGTTATACCATTAAAGCTAAATACTCTTAAAAAACTTAAAGTAAATACATATTTCCTTCAATCTTCATAATCTTCTCTCCTATCCAAAAAGAAAAAAACTTAAAAAACCTATAAGTCCTAAACAAATCTAAGCACATTTAATTAAACAAATTATTTTCTCTTAAAAATATTAATAATAATATTTAAAAACTAGAAACACTTTTAAATCCTAAACAAATCTAAATACAATCATCATTCTATATAAACTCCCTCCAAAACCACAAATTTAAACATTACTTTCTTTCCTAAACAAATCTAAACATTTAATTAAACAAATTATTTTCTCTTAAAAATATTAATAATATTTAAAAACCAAATTTAAGCATACTTAAAACTTGAACAAGTTATACTCCCTTCAAAACACAAATTTAAACATTACTTAAAATTTAAAACATTAGAATCCCCTCACTAAAATAAGCAAATTATAATCCCTTCAAAACACAAATTTAAACAATATTATCATTAAAGGTTCAAAACTTAAAACAACAAAATTAATAAACACATTAAACATTTCAATCTTCACCAATAACAAATTCCATCCGTAAGAAACTGCATCCTTATCAGTCTCAATTATATTAGTATTATTAATTATTCACATTCCAGTTTTTTCCATTCTCCATTCTTCCATTCTTCCATTTCCCTTCTCCATTCTTGTATCAAACTCGTAAGAAATGCTGCAAGTTCTGCCTTAGGAGACTGCTCCAAAATTCCTGAATCTCCCATCGACTCCGAAGCCAATAAGGGTTCCTTGAATTCCTCCTTGTGTTGGTCTTTACAATTGTAAGTTGTACAAGTTATCCTCTGCCCGTTCCTCTCTTGTTGATGCCCCTCAAACTGAGATTTCCCAATTTCCATTTCAGGCAGCAATTCCACCCTTGAAGATTGCTCCAAAGACTTTGTAAGTCTAATATCTCCCAGAGATTCAGAAACCACTGAGTATGAAACTTCCTTAACCTTCTTCTGTTGCTGCTTTTCTTTGGAATTGTATACTGCACAAGTTGTCTTCTGCTCCTCAACCTGGACTTGTTGAGGCCTCTCACACAAAGATTCTCCAGTTTTCATAAATATAGGCTCTTCAAACTGTAATTCTACATTCTTTTCTTCCAAAGCTTTAAACTTAGTAGATGGCGATGCACATACCCCCAGGACCGAAGTATAAAAGTCTTTTGCTTGAGAAACAGTATTAAGTCTATAACATGTCCCCAGGTAATTCACCACCATTCCAGTCGGAACATCCCATCTGAATAAAATTTTTCTCTTTTTAAGTTCATTTGCTAGAAAAGCAAACTCCTTTCTTCTTCTTAAAATTTTAGATGGGATCTCCTTAAAAATTATGACATCTTGTGAAGCAATTTGAAATCTCTTCTTATAATAGGCTTGCACAATTTCATTGCGTAAAGATCTTTTACCAAAGTAAATTACCACATCTCTTGGCAGATTCTTCTGTGCTGCCACCACAGAGTTAACCCTAAATAATTTTTCAATTTCACTAAGTATTCCCTCTTTTTCTTTATTCAAAATCAATGCAAAGTCCTTTGCAACCATCTCTTTCAAATCTCCTTGCAAAGACTCTTCCAGGCCTCTGATTCTTAAGGCATATTCCATTTGTCCATATTGAAGCATAAGAATCTCATTTTCCATTTCTTTTTCCATACTTTCAATTTTCCCCTCCATTATGTCCACTTTTTCAGCTACCTCTTCCACATGGGAGTTCACCTTTTCAAGAACAGAAGCAACTCCTTCTAAAGCCAAAACAAAATCTTGTCTCAAGATCTTATTATTTTCCTCTAAAATCTTTTTCATTTCTGCCCTAATTTGAATTATAACATCTCCCATCATGTTTTGCAAATCCTTCATAGTTATTAGCTGACCCCCAGAAGAGGGTGAAACTGTTGATTTAGAAGCTGTAGAAATCCCTGGACGCTTTGGAGCCATCTTAAAGAAAAACCTTTAGCCCTTCTTAAAAAATTATAAAAATTCCTTCAAAAATCGTAACTCCCTCCAAAGAAGGTCATTATAATAAAAAGAAAAAAGGGGAAAAAAAAAAAGGAAGAGAAAAAGAATTAAAAAAAAACTTTACTCCTTCTTAAAAATTGCAAGAAATTAAACAGAAAAAAGTCCTTCAAAAAAGGGTCATTACCATAAAAAGAAGGGAGAAGAAAAAAAAAATTAATTAAATAGAAAAAGTCCGTTCCAAAAAAAATACTTAGAGATACCAAAAACAACCATTCCAATCATAAGAAAATAAAAAGGGAAAGAGAAAGGAAAGAAAGAGAAACACCAAAAAGCCTGCCGGTCAGCATTCTAACTTCAGAAAAAAAAACACCGAGAGATTTGCCGATCGCCATTTTACTTTCCCTTTCAACAAAGAAAAAAAAATAAAAAGAGAGAATAAAAATAGAAGCAAGTCTTAAAACTTAAAATCCAAATAAATCAAAGAAAGGAAAAACTAAATCCTCTACTCAGCTCTGTCCGTTTATAAAAAAAACTCACCAGTTCTCTTTAAGCACGGAGGTGTTTGCAGCGGCTCGTTTTGTCCCTGAGGACAAAAACAGCTGGGAAGCGGAGACAAGTCTGAACTCCGTGGGAGCACTCCTTTCACCCCCCCAAAAAAAACTTGGGGGGTGCAAAAGAGGCTCTACCACTATTCAGACACTCTCTACCCCCCCCTTTGCCCGGGAGGGGGATTTTGAACCGCTGAACAGCTGGTGTCTGCTGTTCATAGCGGTTCTTACACTTACCCAGGAGAGACGGCTACAAAGTAGCCGCCATCGCGCGCGCAAAATCCACCGGAAGTCCATGCCTCTTTTTTAAAAATAAATTTTCATTTGTTTGGATTTTTAAAATGTATCCTGTGATGGCTCTTTTTTTTTAAATTTTCAAACAATTCATTAGGATTTGCTGAACATATGTTAAAAACAGTAGAAAATTTAGTAAAAAAAATTACTAAATTTTCTACTGTTTTTAACATATGTTCATCATCTTCTCAACCGCAAAAACATTGTGAAATATAGGAGCATGCCATAATGTAATTCTTCCTATACTTTTTTTGTAGTTTAAGCAGCCAAATGGCTAAAGGAATGAATAGTAGTAGTAGTAGTAGTAGTAGTAGTAGTAGTAGTAGTAGTAATAGTTGGAAGGGACCTTGGAGGTCATCGAGTCCAACCCCCTGCTCAGGCAGGAAACCCTATACCATTTCAGACAAATGGCTGTCCAGTCTCTTCTTAAAAACTTCCAGTGTTGGAGCATTCACCGCTTCTGGAAGCAGGTCGTTCCAATGGTTAATTGTTCTAACTGTCAGGAAGTTTCTCCTTAATTTAGATTTCTTTCTGTTTATTATCTATAAGGACAACATGCTGATTTTCCTATTTTATGTTAAATTGGTGATATTCTGCCTTTTATAGATGAAGAATTTTAATACAGACCCTGAAGTTTTTATATTTCTGGTGAGCACACGTGCTGGAGGTCTTGGCATTAATCTGACTGCAGCGGATACAGTCATAATTTATGACAGTGACTGGGTATGTACTATGAAGTCCTCTCCTGATCCCAAAGGACTGTATAATCAGCTCCATCAACAGAGTACAGTTTTAAAATCCACTTGAAATTTAAGCTCTGCCTATGACAGTGGTGGTGAACCTATGGCATGCGTGCCAGAGGCAGCACTCAGAGCCCTCTCTGTGGGCACGTCTGCCGTCCCCCCAGCCCCTCCTCCATCTGCGCCCCCCTCACCAGCAACTCCCCAGAGGAGAATCACCCCCAGGCGCAGTCCATACAGAGCAGCCCAGCCAAGGACATGGCAGCCAGGCAGCGGGGACAAGACTACGCCCTCGCTCCCCGTCGCATGCAGATGATATGGGGCATGGGCGGATGGCGTAGCCATGGCTTTGTGGCGGGCCGTGGAAGCAGTGGGTGGCCCTGCGGGAGAGCAGGCAGAGCAGGGAGTGGGGGCGGTTTTGGGACACTCAGTCTCTAAAAGGTTCGCCATCACTGGCCTATGAAATCTGGTACAATTTTAAAATAAATGCTAATTAAATTAGCGAGAGCCAGTTTGATACAGTACTTAATGCACCAGGTAGAAATTGGGAGATTGTGACTTCTGCCGAAGGCACTAAACCAGCTGGGTAACCTGGTAAGCTGGCAAGTCATTCTAACTCTAAGAAGGGGGTATTGGCAAGACACTTCAGCAAATCTTGCCAAGAAAATTGTAGGGACTACTCCAGGCAGTCAACAGGAGTCAACACTGACTTGCAAGCATTAAAAAAAAAACATAGTAAAACATAGCCATATAGTTTTCCTTATTAAATGTAAGTACAGGTAATCCTTGGCTTACAACAGCTCATTTAGTGGCTGTTCGAAGTTACAACAGCATTGGGAAAAGTGACTTACCCATTTTTTTCACACAACCGTTGCAGCATCCCCATGATCATGTTTTCAGAATTCAGATGCTTGGCAACAGACTCTCGTTAATGACAATTGCAAAATTCTGGGGTCATGTATGATTACGTTTTGCGACCTTATGACAAGCAAAGTTAATGGGAGAGCCAGAATCACTTAATAACTGTAGTGATTCACTTAACATCTATGGCAAGAAAAGTTGTAAAATGAGGCAAAATTCAGTTAACAACTGTCTCGTTTAGCAACAGAATTTTGGGGTTCAGTTGTGGCCGTAAGTCGAGAACTACCTGTAGCAGTATGCCATTTAAAGTCCTGTAGGTTTTTCCCTTAGGCATGCTAAATTCTACCAACCATAGATTTAGTGTAATGTAACAAGACTTTTGTCTCTCAAATTCAAAATTTAACTGGAGAATGTTACGTTTTTTTTTCTTATTTTCCTAATTAAAGGCTTCAGCTTGGCACACTTCAAAAACAGGCAAAATAATTAGGGATAACTAAATTAACAAAGTTCAGTTCTTCTGTTGCCAGTTAGTATGGGAGAATCCATAGCTATGTGTACAGTTGTCAAAAATTCAGTCCACAGCATTATTATAGTTCTAAAATTCCATACAAACGTTTGCTCTGCCCTTACCTTTGTAGTACTTGTGTTGCGCTTTCTGCAGTTCTAACAGCCAGCAGAATCCAACTTGGTGCCAAAGGAGAAGCTTTAAGTACAGAAAATGCCAGATTCATTTCTGTAATTTCTTCAAGAATGTTTTTAAGCACCTGTAAGAACATGAAAAACTTCTGCTTGTCACAGTAAACGAGCCTGAGCAATGTTGAGCCAGGAGGCCCCAAAGCATCTTTGACATCTTTAACCAAACATAGAAGATCCTTAGAATTAATTAAAAATGTAGATATATAAATACTTTTAAATGCTTAAAATCTCATGAACTCTCTTATGATACTTCAGCTTAGAATGGAAGGTTTCTTGGGGTCACCTAGCACTTGAAAACATTGTCTATTGTTGCATTTGAGAATAGACCAGAAAGTATTCAATTTTTCTTGACATGCTTAAAGATAAAGAATACTTATAAAGTATTCAGGATTTTTAATAAAGGCTATACAAAGATTCAGATTCGAAAGGTGACTTGTGATTTGAAGCATGTGGAGGTATGCATGTAGCACCTATTAGGAATGCTTTAAAGCAGCTGCATCTTCTTCTGAGCAGGCACAGCTGCCTCTTCACTTGATGTGTGGTGTCTGTTATTGTTGCACTGCATTGTAGATAAAAGTCATAGTCAGTTGTCCCCATCTCTCGGACAACTTTTTTCCCAAATTGTTAACAAGTCAGAAATTCTTTTTCGTAAAAGGAATTGTTTACATGGAGATGAAAAGATAAATATTAAATTCATATATTTTCATTTCATAGAACCCTCAGTCTGACCTTCAAGCACAAGACCGATGTCACAGAATTGGTCAGACAAAGCCGGTGGTTGTATATCGTTTTGTAACCGTAAATACTATTGACCAGAAGATTGTGGAAAGGGCTGCTGCCAAAAGGAAATTAGAGAAGCTGATTATCCACAAAAGTTAGTAATATCTCTATAACTCTTAGAAATCGTATTCACAACTTTCTGTGTTGGACCACTAGCTATGAGGTGTTTCTCCAAAAGTAAGACCTACCCCCCAAAATAAGCCCTATCCCATGGATAGACACTTGCCTTGCCAGCCCACTTCTTCTGCAGCTGAAGGAGCAGCTAAGAATGGAGCTTGGGCCTGCATTTCGTGGTCAGAAGCCTTTCTGGAAGGCCTCTGCAGCTGAGAACCAAGCTATGGATTCAGTCCATAGAAATCGGACGCAGAAGAAGGAGCCGGCAGGAGGGGCTGTTGGTGCAGCCACTGCGAGGTGACTGTAAAAGACACCCCACCCCTTACCCCGAAAATAACACCTGGTGCCTCTTTTGGAGGCAAAATAAATAAATAAAATAAGACCAGGTCTTATTTTCAGGGAAACACGGTAGTTGACATTAGTCTTCCATTTCAAAGCTGTTTGTTTCTTTATTGGCACAGACTACAAGGACAGTCTGTCAAAAGCAACACGAAACATAAAATATAAATCATTACGGAAAGCCCTTACTAACATTTTTCAAACAAATATGTCCCTGGGTTCTAATTCCAGTCCTATGGAGAATTTTTTACAGCTTGGGAGCAACCCAGGGAAAGATCGTCTCCATTGTCCTTCTGTATCACAGGAGCTCAGTCAACTTCAGAAAGGCATTTCCTGCATATCTTAATAATAATAAACTTTATTGTCATTGTATGTGTATACACGGTATACACATACAACGAAATTTACGTGACACCCAAAGACCAGGTCCCACACACATAATCCCCAAACACACTCCCACCCACCACAATTCCCCGCCCCTAAAACCGCCCAAACATCCACCCAACAGACCAAGTAATACTGTCCAACAGTTCACTGATGGTGGCCCTTTAGTTCATTATTAAGTGCAATTATAGCTCTGGGATAAAAACTATTCAGAAAATGTGTGGACCGAGTTTTAAATGTTCTATATCTTCTGCCAGAAGGCAACAGTCCAAAGAGATTGTAAGCAGGATGGGAAGAGTCTCTGAGAATGTTATGCAACTTCCTCAAACAGCGAGATTTGAAGATGTTGTCCAGGGCTGATAGCTGGAGTCGAATAATATTCTGGGCAGTTTTAATAATTCTCTATAGAGCTTTTTTGTCTGCTACTGAGCTGCTCCCATACCATGCAAGAATGCCGTATGTCAGGACACTCTCAATGGTGCTTTGATAATAGGACAGAAGTAGACGCTGAGATAGATTTAGCTTCCTGAACATTCTCAGGAAGTACAGCCTCTATATGACCAATAGGCCCATAATGAGACAGATACTTCTTTTAGGCAGCCAGATTATGTGGCATTTAAAAATCAAAAGCAACAGTTTGTATTGTTTTATCCTGTAAAAAAATGGCATCATGGCTAAACTTTTAATACAGTTAATGAATACAATATCACATTGCCACATTTTGAACCAATTGAAGCCAGAACGTATTCATCAAAGGATAGCCTAAGAACTAGTAGGCTGCAGGTATATTCATGATATAATCAAGGCATGGATGATTATTGCTAGAGTTGTCGGGCTTAGACTCGATTGCAGCTGGGATGCTAAATGTAGTTGTGTAAAAACTCAAAAAATTCAATACCTGACTAAAGACTTCTGCTAATAACTGCAACAAAGACCAAGGAACCACTGAATAGTCTGGTTCCTTCAAACCTCTCTGGATAAGGAGAGGATGGGAATTTGTTAGTGTGTGTTCTGGATGGCTTCACAAGGAGATTGCAGGACAGTGATTTTCCACAGGTTTGAAATCCAGGAAATGATGGGATAAACCATTTTGCGCGTAGAGACTTTCAATTCATAATTTCAAAAACTGGACACTAGAGGAAGCTACAATTTATAAGTGGAGGAAAGATTTAAAAAACTTCAAAATGTTCTAATGATAAAGATACCTAAGGAGACTTTTGAAAAATGGAATCAGAAAAAAGTAGCGACAGTATCAACAGTGTCAATAATGATGCCAGCTTCTATGGATACATTATGCCTAAAAGATGGTATTGAAAAAAAAACATGTAGAACAAATTTTATGACATGAAAGTATCAAGAATGGATTTACAACTGACAGGCCAAGAGGTTGACTTAGATAAAGATGCTTCACTGGGATCCACAAAAAAATTGACTGAGACTTTAAAATTTAAAAGGGAAATACAAATGATAAACCAAAAGAGAATGACCTGTATAATTTTTTCCTAATGAATTATACCTAATAATTATACCTCCTAATGAGGCTTATTATAATTTTAAAGAATTCTGTGCAATGGGACAAAGAAGAAATTAAGAGAAATCAAATCTGACAATATTTGACTGAACTTAACAAAATTTAACACAAAAATTAACACTGTTAGAAGTAAAGGGAAAGAATATAAAGTTGATTTATCTGATCAAGGTTAATACAAGATATGTTGTTACTTCTGGCATCCCTTTCAGACATTCTACTGACATCATGACTGAAAAGATATTTATAACCTTCAGGAGTTACAGAAAAGTGGATATTAACAAAGTCTGAATGTGTAGGAAGCAATTTCCATTTTTGTCATCCATGTTTATGATTACAAAAACTTTAATTTTTCTTGACACGGAAGATCCAAGCAATAATATCAAATAATCTGAGGGCAGGAAGTAGGGCACAGGGTATCTCAAGATGAGGGAGGCCCTGTGCTCTACTTCATGATTTGCACGGTCATTTAACAAGAGCATCAGGGAGAGCAGAGGTGGAGATTGTTAAGCCCGGTGATCACATGATCTCCTCACGTAACTACCATCACAACTTGCAGGCAGACTCGTTATAGTTGTAGGTCAAGGGTCTTCAAACTTGGCCCTTTTATGACTTGTGGACTTCAACTCCCAGAATTCCTCAGTCAGCGTGCCTGGCTGAGGAATTCTGGGAGTTGAAGTCCACAAGTCATAAAAGGGCCAAGTTTGAAGACCCCTGTTGTAGGTCAAGGATTTACCTGTATTTCTTTTGTCTTTCCTTATATCCCTACTTTTTCTCTTTTTTAACCTTTTTTTAGTTTGTTTTAGATTTTACTATTATAATTGAAATTCTAATTTAAAAAGAAATAATAGCTGAATACAAACTGAATACGAGGCAGTACTGAGATGTTACTACAAAGAAAAGGTGGGAGGATGCACTTTTAGGATGCCTCAAAATCCACACAGTTCCCAAACCACAAGGAATAAACCTTCCCAGTTCATTTTGTTTCAATCAGATCTCAGCTGTGTCTTTTGTGGACGCCAAACTTCAAGATAGATTCCTAGAAGCTGCAAAGTCTCAAAACGGAGCAAGGATAATCTGTTTATATCAAGTGCTAGAGACTATACCCTAAACAAATTGGAGGAACTGGCTATGTTTAGCCTTGAGAAAAGATAGTTGAGAAAAGGGGACACACTTGTCTTTTCATAACTGCCAAACGGCACAGGGGGCACCAATCTACTTAGGTATATCCATTACATAACAAATAATCTTGGTAAGCGATAGTTTGTATTCTGTCATTCTCAAATGTTTTTCACAACCATCTAGTTCTGAAATCTCCTTAGAACAAGGGAGATGCTCAGTTGCTAAATGGAGGGCAAATGAAGAAGTCATTGGTAATTCAGATTATTGAGGTACATTATTACCTCAATAATGTTCCTCAAACAATTGTGTACTTCAGCTTACAGCTTATATTTACGGTGTAAAAGAATGAAGAACCTGGTCTGATTCTAAGAAAACTTTCAACTTTCAGAATCCATCTTTTAGGGCGATAAAAATAAAGTCTTTGAAGGGACTTCTTTTCTGAGAAATAGATCAGAAAATGATACTGAGTAAATGTCTAAAGATAGTTAAGTTTTGTGCTTCTGGATTCAGAGTAATTTGCCCTGTATTCTCTCTAACAGCAATGATGTCTACTTGTGTTAAGTCAAGTGATCTTGAAAATTGGATGCTATTTATGCAGTGCTCTAACTTCTTTTTTTGCATTAGTTCTTTAAGATCTACAGCTAACAGTATTTGCACTATATAAATATGAATCTGAAATGATTATTTTCTTAATATCAAGGAGCTTTTGGAAAATATTTGTGTTTGCATTAATATTCTATAACTATAATCTTATCATTCTTCTATTTTAGAATTACAAAAACGACTGTCAGTTTATACAGTATAGTTAATAAAAAAATCACTGACAGAGTGAGAGTGCTGATCAATAACAATATATTTTTCTTGTTTCCCTTTAAGATCAGTTCAAAGGTGGTAAATTTGGAATAAACCAGTCAAAGAGCTGCTTGGATCCCAAAGAGTTAATAGAATTGCTGCAGTCCAGGGATTATGACAGGTATAATCTGCTTGCTTCCTTGTCTATTTTTCTATTTTTTTCTTTTTGTAGTTCAAGGTGGCATACATAGCACTTTGTCCACCTGTTATCCCATAACATCCACCCTGTGAGGTGGGTTGGGTTGGGTTAAAGCAGAATGACAAGCCCAACATTATCTAGCAAGTTTTGGTGGCTGAGAATAGACCAGAACCTGAATTTCTCCATTCCCGGTTTAAGCCTTAATCACTGCATCACACTAGTTCCCCACACGGAACAAATTATTACATGAAGGAAGCATTTTTACAACTAAAGCTAAAGTCATTGCCAAGAAGTTAAGCCAGGGAACTTAATAAAATATTTCTTTTTCTAGAGAAATTAAAGGTTCAAGAGAAAAAGTAATAACTGACAAAGATTTAGAGCTACTACTGGACAGAAGTGACCTTATCGGTAAGTATTAGATATATTAGTATGTCTTCTGTTTTATTGCATTATTTTTTTAAAAAATCATTCTAAATATCAATTTATATGTAGTATTGAGGTGAGTGAGCACCAGTATGCTTATGAATATCCCTCTTGCTCTCTCCAGATTATTATTTTACATTTAGCTCTCTGACAAATATCATAGCAACCACAGATAAACACAGTACAGCCTTCTTCCCAGGGTGTGTCCTGCTCACACCATATTGAAAGGGTTGTTTTTTTGTCAGTATGTAAGGAACAAGAAGAAGGTAAAAGAAACAATAGGTCCACTAATGGAAGAAGATAGCAAGAAGGTGCCAGGCAACAGGAAGAAAGCAGAACTGCTTAATCCCTTTTTGCATTTTTTTTATGTAAAAAGAAAAAGGCTTCGATCGAAGAAATATGTAGAGCGGCGACGTGGGTGTCGCCTTCTCCTTTTATAAGACACTACAAATTAGGCAGATTCGCATCTGCGGAGGCCTCCTTTGGCAGGAGGGTACTACAGTGCGTAATATCAGAGATTGGGACACAGGCCCAGACGGCCTCCCACCCACAAGGACAGTATGTCCCATTGGTGGATTCTCCACTCGTCATGCTGGAGAAGGGGCGTTGGTCTTACCTGAACGCCTTTTCTCAGCATGACGATGGAGAATCCACTCCCACCCTTGGGGCCAGTCAGGTCCTGTGAGGGAAGAGGATGGAGTCAACACAGGAAACATAGCCAAACAGCTTTCGCCTCCTCGAGACTGGGGAAGGGAGGTCTCAGGAGGAGAGGTGGAGCAAAATTGGCCGACTAGTCTATGGGCAGAAGACGAGGAGAACCCATTGGTGGATTCTCCATCGTCATGCTGAGAAAAGGCGTTCAGGTAAGACCAACGCCCCTTTTGTCAGTATGTAAGGAACAAGAAGAAGGTAAAAGAAACAGTAGGTCCACTAATGGAAGCAGATGGCAAGAAGGTGCCAGGCAACAGGAAGAAAGCAGAACTGCTTAATCCCTTTTTGCATTTTTTTATGTAAAAGGAAAAAGTAGCCCAACTTATCAAAAGCAGCCCTGAGGGAAATAGAATAGGTATACAAATCCAGATAGACAAGGAAATAGTAAGAGAATACCTATCCACCCTGAACAAGCACAAATCACCTGGAACAGATGTTTTCCATCCCAGGGTATTGAAGGAGGTGGCAGATGTAATCTCAGAGCCATTGAATATAATCTTCCAAAGTCCCTGTAGCACAGGGGAACTACCAGAAGACTGGAAAACAGCTGATGTGGTTTCACTCTACAAAAAAAAGGGGGGGGGAAACGGATCCAGAAAGTTATAGGCCAATTAGCTTGACCTCAATCCCTGGGAAAATTCTGGAAAAGATAACCAGAAGATTTGTGAGCACCTAGAAATGAACAAGATTTCTAGAAGTCAGCATGAGTTTGTTAAAAACATTGTGCCAGACACACCATACTTGGACTTCAGTAAGACCTTTGTCAAAGTAGACCACAGACTACTTCTTGGTAAGGATACACACTTCCATCACCAAATGGATTCGAATTGGCTGGCCAACCACACCCAGTGTGTTTGAGTTGTTCGTCCATCGATTTCGATGAAGACCTTGACATCTTGTGGGTTATGGGCCATCAACGATGTGTCCGTAGGTGGCTAATAAGACCGATGTTAGCACGGAATGTTCTGCCACATACTGAACAAAGAAATGTAGACACTGTTAATTCAGCATTTGCAGCTCTGGCTTTGCGGAGTGCTTGCTTTTCTTGTGCCAAGATTGTCCTTCTGTGTTCATATGTCTGGCAACCCTGGTACACCAAGGTGCGCCATGTCGGTCGATCATGCGCCAGAAGTTCCCAAGAGATGGTGTTACACAGAGGGAATTATGCAGTAGAGTATCTACAGGTTCTGTTTTAGGCCCAGTATTCTTCAACGTCTTTATAAATTATCTAGATGAGGGGATAGAAGGGTAGCTCATCATATTTTAGATGACACCAAGCAGGGGGAATTGCTAACACTTTGGAAGATAGATTCAAAGAGATCTGGACGGACTTGAGCACTGGGCTCTATCTAATAAGATGCAGTTCAGTGGTGAGAAAAGTAAAGTCCTGCACTTAGGCAGGAAAACCTAAATCCGTAGGTGTGGAATAGGCAGTATCTGGCTCAACAGTAGTAAGCAATGTAGTCCTTCACTGCATCAACAGCGGGATATGGTCAAGATCTCGAGAAGCGATATCGCTTTATACCGCACTAGCGAGGCCACACTTGGAATATTGTTCTGTGTTCTGTAGTATAGTTCTGGTCCCCACATTATAACAAAGATGCTGAGACCCTAGAAAGTGCAAAGAAGATCAACAAAGGTGACACAGGATCATATATGATGAACAAGATCATATATGATGAGCAGTTGAGGGAGTTAGGTATATGTTTACCCCAGGGGTAGGCAACCTTGGCTCTTTTATGACTCGTGGATTTCAACTCCCAGAATTCCTGAGCCAGCATGGCTCAGCTTGGAAACCTCTCCCTTTCACCTCAGCATGGCTGTCTCAGGAATTCTGGGAGTTGAAATCCACGAGTCATAAAAGAGCCAAAGTTGCCTACCCCTGGGCTAGCCTATCGAAGAGAAGGATTTGGGGAACATTATAACTGTCCTCCAGTACTTGAGGGGCTGGTCACAAAAAAGAGGGGATTGATTTAGTCTTCAAAGCACCAGAGGGCAGGACAAGAAATAATGGATGGAAGCATGTTAAAGAGAGATACAGCTTAGAAATGAGAAATTTCCTGACAGTGAGAACAGTTGATCAGTGGAACAGCTTGTCTCCCAAAGTTGTGAATACTCGCTCACTTTTCAAATTTTTGAGGTTTTCAAGACTGGGTAACCATTTGACTGGGATTATATAAGATCTCCTGCCTTAATCGGGGTTGGACTAGAAGACCTCTAATGTCCCTTCCAGCCCTATGATTCTATGTTCTACCTATATACCACATGTAGTACTGTTTCCCTGAAGTAAGGGTGTCAGCCTCTGGGTTAAGCCACAGCAATATAAAATCTTTTGTTTCTATCATCTGTATTTCTGCCCCAACCAGTGAAACTGGATTAAACATTTACTACTCTAGTTATATCTCTGATCTTTCCTCCTTCTTGTCTCCACCCCACCAACAAGTCTTTCTCCTGTAGTTTGTGTGTGTGTGTGAGAGAGAGAGTTTTGAGTAGACCAATAACTTTGATGTTTGTCTTTAATCAATACAGGCCCTTCCCTATCCTCAGGGACATTTATAATGTGACTCATTGCCTTTTCCAATAACTCTTTCCTATAGTGTAGGCCAGGGGTAGGCAACCTTGGCTCTTTTATGACTCATGAACTTCAACTCCCAGAATTCCTGAGCCAGCATGGCTCAGCTTGGATCCTCTCCCTTTCCCCTCAGCATGGCTGGCTCAGGAATTCTGGGAGTTGAAGTCCACGAGTCATAAAAGAGCCAAGGTTGCCTACCTCTGGTGTAGGCCTTATACTATCACTGACACTGTGCAGGTCTTCAGTTGGGTCATTTGAGTAGTATTTTCCTCTACTCTTGGGCTTCCTGATAAATATATGTTATTACCCCATACCTTTACCTCAGTTTAATACCATACATCACCACCAAGTATTTCCCTACCTCTATTAAGCAACCATTATGTCTCTGATATTTCTTCTTTGCCCTTCCTAAAGATCTGGTGATAGAATTTGTGAGGACTAAAAGGTTCATTTTCCATAAAGTGGGCATTTTGGTGGATTAAAAAGGAACAGTTTTATACTGTATTAATTTTCCACAGTTTCAACTCCATGCCTTATGGATAAAACTTTGATTATGGACACTGTAATCCATACCCTCTGTGGGAAAAGCCCTTCAAATATTGGAAGACTGCTATCAGGTCTCCCTTCATTCTTCTTTTGGCTGACCACACCCAGATCCTTTAACTATTTTTCATAGGATTTAGCCTCCAGTCCTTCACCATCTTTGTTATTCTTCTGTGCACTCTTTCCAGTTCCTCAGCATTCTTCTTGTACTCTGGCAATCAAGCAAAACTGAATAAGGTATTCTATGTGTGGTCTGACCAGTGCAGTATAGAGCAGTTATCATCACACTGTTTATATCTGTTAATACAGAAGCCGTGGTGGCGTAATGGTTAGAATATAGCACTGCATGCTAACTGCCCAGAGCCAGAAGTTCAAGCCTGACCACTATAAGGACCCAGATTGTTGGGGGCAATATGCTGACATTGTAAACCACTCAGAGAGTGCTGTAAAAAGTAGAGATCCCAACCTCCGGGTCATGGCCCATTAGGAATTTGGCCACAGAAGTGAGCAAAGCTTCATCTGCTCATGCACAGGATCTAGATAGCATGTGGAACCATGTCCCTTAGTCTGTAAAAAAAAAATTCCCACAGTCTCTGGTGCCCGAAAGGTTGGGGACCGCTGCTATAAAGCGTTACGGAGTGGTATATAAATCTTAAGTGGTATTACTTTTGCTATCTCTGTTGAGCAGCCCAAGATTGCATTGGCTTCTGTAGGAACTGCAGCACATATCTGGCTAATGATTAATTTGTAGTCTACTTCAGAAGTCCCCAACCTTTTTGGCACCAGGGACCAGTTCCATGGAGAGAGATTTTTCCATGGACCAGAGAGTGCATGGTTTTGTGTGCTGCCTGCATCCCACGGATGGGGTTTGGCTTGTTTGTGTGAACCAGTTGCTGGCATGTTGCTGCCCAGTACTGGTCCACGGACCAGCGGTTGGAGACCCCTGGTCTACTAGGATGCCCAGGTGTTTCTCATAATTACTATTGCTTAGCCAGGTTCTGCCTGTGCTTATACCTGTGCAAATAATTTTGCCAATCTACGTACAGAACCCATATTTCTCTCCATTGAACAGGATTCGGATGGGTAGAGCTATTTAGATAAGTCTATTTAGACACTTTGAGACCTTGATTCTATCTTTTAAGATTAGCAATTGCCAAGGCTTGTGTCCTCCTTAGATTTGATGAACACCTGTTTTATCCCCTCGTCAAAGTCATTTGTAAAAATGTTGAAGAGCACTGGACTCAGGACAAAACCCTGAAGTACCCCATAGCACACCTCTCTCCATTCAGACTTTGATCCATGAAGGACTGTGCATCAGGCACATTTGTACAACCAACTCACTACTATCTAGTAGTGAGACCATCTATCCCACATAGCTCCATTTTAACAAGGTGGCAGCTTTAGTCAATGTTATCAAATGCCTTACTGATTTTTAGGTCAAATGTGTCCACAGCTTTCTCTTGACATATTAATCACCTTGTCATAACAATTTTTTTTTTTGCCAAAGTCTATTTTTAACAATCCCTTGCTGGCCTCTAGTAATTATATTGCTCTTTTTCTAAGTGCTTGCAAACCCACTGTTTTATCCTCACTAGCAAATCTCAGGGTTTCTGAGTGGAAACTTTCCACTTCAAGTCTCAATTCTGCATCTTATTGCATGCATCAAAATTGCCTTATTTTTGTGAGTACCACACAGATGAGATTCATGGAGACTAGATTTCAGTTATAATTGCTGTTTATGTAATTTCTAGAGTTGCCAAAAAAACAACAGAGTATCTGTAAGTATTGTTGGGCTAGGGAAGTGTAGACCGGCAGCTTAATTTGGATAAACATGCTGATTACTCTTCTGGACTCTTTTCAAAGCAAACTTCTTCTAAGGAGGATGTAATGCTCATGCTGTGGTCAGACAGATCCTTCTTTCTGATTCTCTTTACTGGCACACCAGTCAATTATTTCTCCATTTACACACTAAAATAGCCATACAGAGCTTAATTGCTTTTTTAAAAAAAACCCTTAATGGACTAATCAGGGCACAGGGGTACCCTTTAAAGCAGGTGGTCTGTTTTAAAAATGAGATTTTTATGCACGTATCAAATGGCAGGTGGGATTTTATCCATTGCAGAAAGAAATTCTGTATAAACAAACCAGTATCTGTTAAATAGAAAGCTTACTATATCCACATGGCGTAATATTTGGCTGCAGAGCATCAAAGTGACCAGGTCTGGATCAATTTTCTATTCCAGACATACTTGGCACACATTCTTCACTGTAAGGAAAGCAAATTCCTGCTTCCTTCTAGTGCACGGGTCAGCAACCCGTGGCTCCGGAGCCACATGTGGCTCTTTGAGCCTTCTGTGACTCCCAGCCTCCTCTGCCATTTGCAGAGACACAGAGAGGCACTTGCGCTTCCCTTCTCTCCTCTCTCTCTCTCTCTCTCTCTCTCTCTCTCTCTCTCTCTCTCGGTGGGTGGGTGAAAAAGAGAGGCCTCACGCTGTTCTCGGACAAGCTGACAAGCTTATTGGGCGGGGCTCCTGCCTTTGCTGTGTCTCAGCAGGAAGCAGCAGCACTCTCTTCTCTCTCTCTCTTACACACACACACACACACACGCAGGAGAGAGCCAGCCCAGTAAAAATGTATGTCAGCTTGTTGGAGAACAGCGGGACGCCAGCTTGCAAGGTGAGCAGATGATTGGATAGAGGGAGGGAGAAAAAGAGAGGGAGAGAGAGAGAGAGAACTCATGCACAGCAGCCTCTATTTCTTTTTAATTAAACTCTTCAATCAAGCTCCCCCCCCTTGTGCGCGCGCAACTTTTGCAGCTGCCAGTGTTTTCTTTTCTCTGGGAAACCGGTCCAAGTAGCTCTTTTGAGTGTTTAAGATTGCCGACCCCTGTTCTTTTGTGTCACTTCTCAAACATTCAGAAAATTTCCAAATCTTCCCACATTATGTTCCAAAAACCTAAGCATCTTTAATAAGGGTCAGAACCTTGAAATGGTAAAAAATTGGATGTTGTTTTAATAAATAGCTATGGGATGAGTTTGCCCTGAAACAATTTTGCCCTATAGCAATAATTGTGCATTCTTGCAAAAGAAGCAGAATTTTATCTCTATTTCTGAAAGTAACCTAACCCACCTCAAAAAAAATGTATTACCTCCTGAAAAAAATGGAATTTAAATTCCACACAAAGAATGATGCATTTTCAGACATATAAGAAGCCCGGTTTTGTTTAAATGGAAATCTGTGAAGAATACTTGCCGTTTGTCTATGGTCCTCTGAGTGGTGTGCTTCATCTCTTCCAGATCAGATGAAAACGTCTGAGAGACTGAAAGAAAAAATGGGCAAGTTTATGATACTAGAGAACACTGATGATCCTAGCCTGTAACTTGTATTTCAGAATTTGGGCACCTAAATAACATTTCTGTCCCTTTGTAATCTGAACCTGGATACTCTTTATAACAGTTACCTTGTTGTTGGTCTCTGTTTCAAAAAGCATTATTGTCAAAAGCTCTGAAATGTTAGTTGCTACATTTTTGTATATGAAAAGTGGATCTTGTGGCCTCTTGTTGATATCTGAGAAATTTTAGATTCTATTTTTGTCTTGAGTAGTTGGTAACTGACTAATCTGTACACATTGCTGCAGAATTTCGGCTAAAGGAATTTTACTTTGAATTTTTTACCTCTCGCTTTTAGTATGTTTTATGAACAGAATATATTCAGAGTATTTGTTTACAAGCCTTGATTGTACTACTTCAGTTTGTTTTGACATTACAAAATAAATGCTATTTTGCTTGAAATATGTTTTGTTTAATCACTGCTCCTGGCAAGTATTACTTAACTTTATATAAGAGTTACAGTACAGCACATTTATCTGTCTCCTTTAGCTGTTTTATTGTCACCAATTAACATTGTTTTTGTTTATTTTTAATATTCTATTTGAACATCTTTTAGACTTTGTTGACAATAGTTTGACATTCAGTTCATCTAAAAGAAGAGTTTCTCTTTCTATATTTTTTGCCAGAGTTGAAAGAACCAGGAAATTAATTGAAGGAGGCAGAATATTCAAACTTCTATTTGAATTCATGAAACTGTTTACATTTGCAAATTAGTTAAAAGATTAGAATGATTAAAATACTCATTAGCGAACAAAAGAGAGTTGAGAAGCTTATTGAACACAAGGCCAAGAAAATGAATGAGCCTAATAATATGTATTAAAAGAGAAACTGACTCCATGGGGAAGACTGGACTGAGAGTGAGCACCTGGCTCAAAGTCATCAAGGAGCTTCAGTACTTTAGGATGGATATGAAACTGATCTGTGTTGTAGATCAACAGCCCACTTGTGGCACAGGGCTTACTCAGTCATAGAGAATAATAATTCATGAGTGCATGAATTTGTTATAGCAACATCCAGTGTAGTCCAATTTAGAATTACATTTTCTCAGTGAAGAATATCATGTCTTCTTGAACCAAAATATTCATGATTATTTTTTTTTTTCAGATTTTCAGTGTTCTGGAGTTGAAAGAAGTAGACTCCAACACAGTGCAAGATCCAAATTAAAGCATCTTAGACAACCCTTTGTTTTAACATATCCAATGTAGGGAGGTTCACCATCTTCCTGCGTAATTAGTTCCATTACTAAACTGCTCTTATGGTGTGTCTTGGGAGAATACAGAATAACAGTTAGAAGGGACCTTGGAGGTCTTTACCTGCTCAAGCAGGACACCCTATACCAGGGGTAGGCAACCTTGGCTCTTTTATGACTTGTGGACTTCAACTCCCAGAATTCCTGAATCAGCCATGTTGTAACAGTCACTAAGTAAACTGTTGTAAGTCGAGGACTACCAGTACTTTATCACTTTTTTTCCTTTTTTTGGGGGGGGGGTCACGTTTTTGACACCTTGCTAGGCGACTGGTGCTTGAATATTGCCAGATCCTAAAAGTGGTACAATCTGTGAAAAGGTTGAAACGCCCTGTCCTACATGAAGAGTAGAGAGGTATCTGGAACTAGAGAGTTGGTGAGAGGAAAGCAAAAGCTCAGAATCATAGAAAGATGTTAAGGATTTTATGAATAACCAAAAAGGTTATTTTTTAATATATTCAGAATAAAAGGGAAGAAAAAGCAAAAACCTACGCTCAATGAAGGAGGCAAAATGCTAAAAGGTAACAAAATGCAGAGGTACAGAACTCCTGTTTTGGTTCAAACTTTTCCAGCAATAACCAAAAATCTCTGTGTTCCACTGGAACAGTATTTTTCAATCTTGAGAACTTTTAAGATGTGTGGGCTTCAATTCCCATTCTGGTTGGAAAATTCTGGGAGTCAAAGTCCACACATAATGAAGTTGCCAAAGCTGAGAACATCGCACTAGGTCAGGGGTAGGCAACCGTGGCTCTTTTATGACTCGTGGACTTCAACTCCCTGAATTCTTGAGCCAGCATGACTCAGCTTGGAAACCTCTCCCTTTCCTCTCAGCATGGCTGGCTCAGGAATTCTGGGAGTTGGAAGTCCATGAGTCATAAAAGAGCCAAGGTTGCCTACCCCTGCACTAGGTCATTGTGAAGGGCAAGATGAAGTTTGATTGAATGTTTTGATGGGCAGAACCATGGTCAGGGAATTCATCTCTGCTTCAATTTAAATCACCTGGAATTGATGAACAAGTCAATGGATGAACCCATCTGTATTGTCTTTGAGAATCTTGGAGAATTAATAAAGAAGTTAATAGAGAAAAGCACAATTTGCCCCTATCTTCAAAAGGGGAGAACAATAATGTTCTTTAAAAATATGTAAATTATCGCAGCCTTTTTCTTGTTTTCTTCTTGTGACAACACAGGATCACAAACATCTGACAGTGGTTTATCAAAAGAACTGTGGTTTAATACACAATATGAAACAACAGCATTCAGGGAGCATACAGAATATAAGATAGTTCTGTACAAACGGTTCAAGTGCAGCTAAAGATTCCAACTGTCATTCCCTCAGACACAGTCTCTTAAAGGGATACTATCCCCAAAAGACTCTGCTGACCTATTCTCCTAAATTATAATGACCTTGACACTCCCATTTAAAGCTGAACGGCTGCTACTCTGAATGCCTTTATGCAATTTTGATACTTGTCTGAACTCAAAGGCTTCATTAATATATCAGCCAAATTATTTTCAGAGGGGCAATGCTTTAACTCTTGTTAGTTTATTCTTTACTGCCTCTCTTACATTGCAATTCATTATTTTGTAACACCTTTTTATATACCCCCTTACATCCCACGGCCTTATTTCTTTCTGGTAATCTCATGGGCGAGAACACTTGATGCACATTCATAGATTCCATTTCCCTGTCCGTGGTTTCTTTCCATTTTTCTCGTTCTGTTTTCGGTAAGGACATCATTTCTTGGTAATTGCGAGGTTCATAACGCATACTACATACTCTAACCTCACTTGCCTTATATCTATCGGGAGGTACTCCTTTATTAATTTATTGCAACCTCCTTGTTAACACCTGTTCTTGTGTTTCTGTGTCTTCATTTTTCATGTCAGGTCTCGCCTCCTCTATCTTTACAGCAGTGGTTCTCAACCTGTGGGTCGGGACCCCATTTGGGGTCAAACGACCATTTCACGGGGGTCGCTAAACAACGCAGTCCGCCATTTTTCCCCTTTTCCTTAGCTGTGCTACTCCCTTTTATTCTATTGGCTTTTGAAAGCCAATAGAATAGACTCTCTTGAATAGAGTCTAATTCTATTGGCTTTCAAAAGCCAATAGGAATTGTCCAGGCTGTCTCTGCCCTGCTGAGCCCGCCAAAAGTCCCATTCTGCAAACGGTGCTGCACCAGTTGAGTAGTCCTCGACTTACGACCGATTGGGGGGTCGTGGCATTAAAAACGTTGAGAACCACTGCTTTACAGTTTCTGACCTACCCATTTTCTCTGATGATGGGTCTTCTGTAGCTTCTCCTCCCTGAGACATATTACTGTGTGATAGAATAAACACGTCTGTGTTGGCATGTATCCTATTCCAATTACTATGCTCTGCAAAGCTGGCAGAATGTGAAATTACAACTTTCTGAGTCCCATCAATAAACCTATACTCTTTCTATCCTGGCTCATATCCTATAAACCTCATTTTTCTGGTCATCTTCTGTTCCTTTCTTCTAGTGCTCCTAGGATTATGTACCCAGGCATAACTACCAAAAGTTCTTAGGTGAGCCAAGGAGGGTTTCTTACTGTATAACAAAAAACATGGAGTTTCATTCACAATAGAACTCCATAATCTGTTTATTAAATAGTTTGCCGTTTTTATGGCTTCTCCCCAGTACCCTCTACTCATGCCTGCATCTGCAAGTAGTGAGTCCTTCATAGTCTGTAATAGGCCATTACTCCTTTCAGCTACTCCATTTTCAGCTGGTGTATATGGGTTTCTTCGTCTATGTCTAATACCTAGTCTCCTAAGCCAACATTGAAAATTGTTGGACATAAATTCTGCTCCCCTGTCTGTCCACAGGTGGCATACTTTACCACCATATCTGCGTTCCACAAATGTCATCCATTGCTTAAATTGTTTCAATACCTCTGTTTTGTGTTTGCGTAAATAACAAAATCCATATCTGATATAATCATCTACAATTACCAGAGCATATCTTGCTCCTCCAATAGATGGTGCCATAGGACTTATTAAGTCAGCGTGTACTAACTGTAAAACTTTGTTTGTCTTTCTTAAGCTTTTCTTGCTAACAGGATAAACCCTAGATCCGTGGTGGCAAACCTATGGCACGCATGCCACAGGTGGCACGCACAGCCCTCTCTGTGGGCACACGCACCATTGCCCCAATCCTAAGCCTTCAGATGGGTTTTATAAAACCTTTTTGTTTTAGGCCTCAGCCACCATGTGCAAAAAACAAAAGGTTCAATCAATCAATCAATTTCAACTTCTTCCGGGAAAAAAAATGATCTCACAAAGTTGGAATTGATTGATAGAACTTTTAGTCCCACCCAGTCTCCCATTATCACTGCAACCACGCCTACCAAATGGGCAATACCCACCCAATTGGCCACACCCACCCAATGTGCCATGCCCACCTGGCACCCGACGATACATAAGTGGGTTTTGGGTTGCAGTTTGGGCACTCGGTCTCTAAAAGGTTCGCCATCACTGCCTAGATTTTGACATAATCTAGGTATTTATCACAATTCTTCACTTTCAATCCTTCTATTTCTGGCATTTTCTGTAGCACTCTAAAGCTGGCATGACCTACTCTCTTATGCATTAGATGCACACAGTTATTATGTGTGGGTGTGTTTGTCAGAATACTTGTTCTCCTAATATGTATAAACCATTCTGTCCAATGCCCCGTGCACAAATCCTCCCATCTTTCTTGGTAGCATATTGCCCTCTAGCAAACATTACTTCATATCCCTCACTATCTAGACATGCAACACAGTAAATTATGGTCTATGTCTGGCACATATAACACCTTTTTCAATGTTACCCTTAGTTCAGGTACATAGACATTTCCTTCCCCTTTAACTGCTGGCCGTTGTCCATTAGCCAGGCTGACAAAATCCTGGTTAGTTGGTCTTAAACCAATAAACACATGTGGGTTTGCTGCAACATGCTGGTTTGCCCCACTGTTTAGTATCTACTTGTGCGTGTTTTTCTTCGTTGCTGCCTGGGTAAATAACATCCCATCTTTGGTTGGTTGCGTAGTTCTATATCCTTGTCTTGCTGTACCTCTGTTTTTCCTCTCTGGACAGTGTCTTTGGAGAGGTTTTGTAGAACCACTCACAATGTTTTACAGTGCAAATGGTCTC